TCTCTTCGATCCATTTTACTCCTTTTCTACTTGAATTTCTGTTACTTTTCTCTGAAATACTACCAAGCCTATCAGTATGTTTGGCACAAATAGATGAAAAGATACTTTTATGAGCTTTTTAGGAGCTGTTAGTTTTTAGTGACTGAAAAAATCTTAAAATAAAAAGGTGGTAGCTTTTGATAAATAGTTGATTGTTGATTTAGTTCTATTTGGCATACAAGTTGTTGGGACTAATTAATATAAAAAGCTACAGGCTTTTCTCATTTGCTACTCAGTACTCACAATAGCATCTCAAAAAAGATCTTTTACTTTTAAGAAAGCTCTTAAAAATAGGCATGCCAAACATTCAACTAGAAGCTTTTAGAGACTTCAATTAGTACAAAAACTAGAAGGAAGGGGCTTATGCCTACCAAACATGCTCATAACTGTATGTGGAAAAAGCACTTCACTTTCATATGCACTCAGCAATCATCTTAGATAGTTCACTTGTTACTCAAAAATGTGTTAAAAGGCATTAGCTTCATCTTATCAAATGTACAGACACACAAATGGCACTCAGAATTACAATGTCAGTGTGAAATTTCTTTTGAAGGATGTTAGCTTGAAGTTTTTGAAGACCATGCTGAACCCTAAAAATGGACAGAAAGCAAAGCTCAAAAGTCAGAAGTTATGACCATCGGTGAAAAGCACCAATACCTCTCCAGTGTGAGGATTGATGGTCTGGAGCACACTCTCAAGAGCCTTATACTCCATCTTAGTGGCCTTCTGAGTTAGCTGAAATGACCTAATGCAGACAACATCCTTCCCTGCTGCAGTCTTAAACCGCATCTTAATCTGTCCTTTGGTCTCTGTCTCCCCTGCCACCTATATCAGACAATAAATTGCTTTAGAAAATTGTTTGATATCATTTTGCATGTCAGATACATATTCAGAAACAAATCAGCCCAAAGAAAAAGGCCCTTTCACCTTTGGATCATGAACGAAACTTTGACCGGAACGGGCGTTAGGTGGCAACTCTCCTGTGCAGGCCACCTTCAAGCACTCAATGATTGTCTGTCACAAAAACATACTCAGTAGTGAACAAAAAATATGAACAGAAAATGCACATACAATTCAATGACGCTTCATCAGGGAGGATGGACATGATAGACTGAAGTGCAGGGCAACTTAAAAAGTTTCAATTTTTTTAGTGTAATTTTTTTCATTTTTCACATTTAGTTCACCCCTCTAATATTTAAGTCTGGTATAATTCATATTCAGCTAGGGGCATTTCGTATTCCTGCATCCGCCCGATAGGAAAAGCTACTAAATTTCCTCTTGATTAAGTTGCATGTCCAAGCAAATGTATGGAGATAGTTACAATTCCAACCAGTACGCAGAGTGTATCTAGATATACAAATATGACTGCAATGAGAGTAGCGAGTGAGCATGATTACAGTTTTTCCGGCGCCGTTGGGACCTACAATGAGGGTTAGGGGTTTGAAGAATGTAACAACGTTCCGGTTCTCCGGGTCGAAGCTCCGGATTCCCTTTATGAGCATCTTGTCCACCGTGCTCATTTTCGCTACTTCTTCTCTATCAAATACGAGTAAATGATTCGGGAGCTAAAGTAGCATCGCTGCTCAGAGCTCAGGGCTTCAGGGTGGCAAAGCTGCCGAGTCTTATGCTGTTGCCCGGAAGAGAGTGAGAGTACGGTACTCCCGTATCAAAAAATTATTTTACCTTTCGAAAGATGGATGGGATTTGGGCATCAAATCAAATGGAGGAAAAATGCTAGAGTTATTTGTACCTCATCTTATTTGTGGCTCACAAAAACATCTCATTAAAGTAGGACAATTCATTTATTGAGGTGGACTTTTGTGAGCCACAAAAATAGATTGGGGTACCAATTGGAGTACCTATAGCAGGGTTGTCAAATGAATGCATTGCTTAGTGCGATTAAGTGGATTTCAAAGAGCCATAAAGGAGCAAACTTGAAGGCGAAGGCAGCCCGATGAGTTTCGAACGGTGATTAAATAATTTTCGGCCTTTTAAAAAATTATTTGAATAAAATGCATGTATAGTCCTTGATCTATATCAATCAAGTCCTTCTGTTAAAATTTTCTGTTAACATTAACTAACGGTAGCTGCTTTATTAACACCTCATAATTTTAAATATTTTAGAACAGTGCAATTATTCTGAAAATTTTAAGCAGCTAATCTTTTTTTAAAATGTGCATATATACACATACACAAATAAAAATTATGAGTAAATAATTAAATAAATACTATAAACCAAATGTATGGCTTAAATAAAACGTAGTATATAATAGAGAATCAAATAACTCAATTAATGCATATGGGCAAATAAAATTAAATACGAAAAACGAGGATGGTTGTTACTATTATTAATTATATTAAGAGAAAAAATGACTAAAATTGGTCCATTTTTCCAACACATATCATTAGTTTTTCCCAAAATAATACTCCGTATTTAAATGCATAATAACTACCAAATAAATAAATACGTAGTATTTTTATGGACTAATTTGGCCTTACATTTCTTTTTACCATAATATGCCCTTCGATTGATATTATAAAACTCTAGCTCTCTACTCATTTTCTAAAAACTATTGTCATTAACTTGTCGCCGCGGCACCTGTCATCCCCGTCGTTGCGGCACCCCCCAATCTCTGCGGCACACGCCTTCCCCGACGTTGTGGTCGTCCCCATGCGCCGACATCAAAGTAGGAATAAAAAAACACAAATGATACCAAATTAGGTATGAGCCTAATATAGTGGGACAGATCGAAAAGGAAAGATGAGAAATCTTAGCGAGACAGAGGGCTTATATAATTTAAGTCATACATGCGGTTTTATATTATACTATCCTCCGTATCGCATTAGTTGTAACATTGCAAATTACACACTATTCATGTACTCTACTTTGACAACTATTTATTTATAAATTTATGTGAATTATTTTTTTTTTTTTGAAAAAATTGTTGAATTCGTCTCATTAAAAAGTTTCATAATCTGATTTTTAATTATTTTTTACTAATACAAAGATAAATATAATGACAGTCAAAGTTGTGCGTTGGCAAATGTGAAAAAGTGAATGTTGCAATTAAAAAAGAACGGAGGAAGTATATATTTGATTAATTATTTATATATGTGTATACTGTATACATGCATATTTTTAAAAAACTAGATTAGCTACTAAAATTTTAAGAATGATTGTATTGTTCTAAAATGTCTAAAATTATGAGATGATTGTATATTTGTATGTAAGTAATAAATTAATTACTTACCATCGGAGTTAACGGCAAATTTTAACGAAAGGGCTCGATTGATACAGATTGAATAGATTAAGGACTAAAATGATAGATTTAATAGTTCGAGGACCAAAATGATATGGTGATGATAGTTCAAGGACCATTCACGCATTTTACTCAATTTATTTTACCTTTCAAGTATTTGTCATTGCTTCAATTTTTTTTGGAAGAAGGAGGCTTAAATTGATATCACAGTATTAGCATTCAGATAAGGAGTTAAACGATAAAATGACGGAATTATTTTTTCTCAATTTGACATGTCACTTAAGTTTGTAAATGCATTTCATAGAAAAGTCGCATCAAGTAGATTTGGGAGTGTGCAAAACAACCCCTTCAAAGCATCTAGGTTCATTACACCCCACATCATCAAATGCCCTTTTCTATTACACCTACTCTCTAGAATGCAAAAATAGGTCAAGTCAAGCGTATGCGGCAATTGAAAAAGAGTAACCCGATCTCACTGAAGGTCAAGTACTTCTTGGAGATGCCCGTAGTGAGTCGAGTACTTCTCCCATTTTTATTTCGCACACACAGCCTTCAGTGTTTAGCTGTCAACGGTCAACACATTATTGAGTTGGGGATTTGTTTGTAGGAGGGTTGCAAAAAGCTAAAAATATGTTTTGTTAATTTAGTTTCTAGCTATAGTGGTCGGTAATATCCGGTTTCAAATGTTAATTTCAAATAGTCGTTATTTAAATCATTCTTATTTGAGAAAACTATCAAATAAGCTCCTCTACTTTTAAAAAAAACAATTAGACCCCCAACTAAAATTTCGTTCAATCAAACCCTCGAACTCAATTTTAAATGTCAAACCTTCCCTTTTAACCGGCAGCCTCCCAAGTCCAGGTTAAATTGCATACGTGGCATATGACATGGCTTATTTTTTTACCTTTTTTTTTCTCTTTCTTTTTCACTTTCCTTTGGATTCGTTTTCTTTCTCCTTCACTCCCGCTCCCTTCTTCCTTGCGCACACATGCACATTTTTTATTTCTTTTCAATTCTCTTCTTTCTCTACTTCTCTGACCTCACTTCACCCTTCTCACCTCCCTGCAGCTTCACTCCCGCTCCCTACCTATCCTCTGTTGACTAGGGCGGCGGCCGAATTGAAGCTGTGGCGGATCTGGAAATGGCCAGCCTGGAGGTCTCACGGAGCACCGTCGCTGACCAAGAAGCCAATGGAAGCCATCGACTCGTGGGCAGTAGACGTGGAGTGGGTACTTGAGAATCTCCGGCGATGTGGGTCTCTCAAGCTGCAGAGTGGAGGACTGCCCAACGACCGGTGGGTGGGAATTGGGAGAAGAAAGAAACCAAATAGGAGAAGAAAGGGTTGATGGAAGAAATGGAAGAAGTGGTGAAAGGGGAAGGCGGAAGGGGAAAGGGGGTTGCTAGAACGAGCGTAGGAGAAATGGGGGTGGGAGAAGGAGGAGGAGAAGGAGGAGGAGAAGGAAAAAAAGAAAGAGAAAAAATAATGGGGGAAACCGCCACGTGGGTTGCCACGTGTGCACAATAACCGCTTAAACAATTCATTACCGGTTAAAAGGGAAGATTTGTCACTTAAAAATGAGTTGGAGGGTTTAATTGATCGAAATTTTAGTTGGGGGTTTAATTGATTTTTTTTTTTAAGTAGAGGGGCTTATTTGATAGTTTTCCCTTTTTATTTCAACAATTTCATCAAAAAACACTAAAGCCGAACAACTAATTACCAAATAATGAATCAATGTTGTCACTAATTGAAAATTGTAAAAAAAGATCAAACCGCTATTTTTACTCAAACGTTTTTCTCATACACATCCTTAATATAAGCACTTCATAAAGTTACATCAGAGTTTAAAATTTGTATACCCCACCAAATTGAGGGTCTTGTTACTCTTGTAATGTTTTTGGAACCCACATTGGTATAATAGGTATCGTCGTATCGAAGACTGAGCAGCTAATTGCATAATTGTATCATGAGAGACTCTTTATTCTAGCAAATATTATACACTTAACCGGATGAGGAGCACCAACATGATGGGCGGCCTAGTGGCCGTCAGGTGGTTGGTTATACAAAAGCTGAGAGCAATCGCAAACTGGAAGCAAAGTCTCGGGCCCACAAGTCATAATGTACAATTTCCTCCAAAGAAGGCGACGCCACCACCTCTGCTTGATGCTTATCACAAGTTAGCTCAACAATCTTGAAAATGTCGAGGTAGCCAATTCTGAATGAACCACAAAATTTAACCATATAAGCGAAAAAAATACAATGTGGAGCTAGCTGCAAAGAATACAATCACTATATGTGATAGGTCTCCCGTTTGGTCCTTCGACTATTAGGGATTTAGGGTCATATTTGGTTTTCGGCTTTGAGTTTTCCCAGTTCAGGTGCACGGCGGTGAACTCTTTCTCGCTTTTGGTCTTTTTCAGTCAGTTCCGGAAAGAATTGCAAAGTGATCAGCCGGATAGGTGGTGGAAGACTAAAAGTAACAAGAAATCCATAGCAATACACCACATGGCCTAGTGGTGAGGCCGACAAAAAGTGGAAAAAGAAATCTAAGTTTTAAAAAAAAAAGGATGACATTTTGCCAAAAAAAAGGATGACACCACATCCCTGAGGATCTCAGAATCGACCGGACAGTTGAACCGAGAGTGGGGTTTCATCCCAAGTCATTACTTGGAGTTGAACCCGGGAACTCTCTCTTGTGGCACCCTCTTCCTACCAGGTGAGCTATGCCCCCCCCCCCCCCCCGTATGGACATTCGCCCCGGGGTGAGAATGGTGGTGAAATGTGTGTAGGTAATCTCATTCAGTGTGAAACACTAATATCCTATTCAAGGTACCTACTTCTCATTGATAAATAACTCAACGGCTTTTTCATTTGCGGCACTGAGAACTCCTGTCATCGTCCCTCCTGCCCGCCCAGCAGCATAAGCGAGATCCATGGAAGGGTATTTTACTTTGTCCGGGGCTTTAAATGTCAACGACCCAATCCTATATAATAGTTAGTCAAAACATTGTTTTTCAAAAAATATGGAGTAGAAATAATACTCCAATAGCTTCTCTTAAAATGAGCGTTGGTTGCTTACTTGCAGAGATCAAGGCGGGGCCATGTGATCTCAGAACAATGAATTCTCTCTGGCCATGACATCGTATAGAGAATAGGAAGACGCATATCAGGCCAGCCCAACTGTGCCAATATAGACGAATCCTGCAGAATTATAAAAAATATGGAGGTGTTGGTATCAATACGCATTGTCATTTGAGTCAATGCCCAATTTGCAACATGGACTCTACACTATTACCAAATTTGACCACACTTTTTTTGGAATCACTTCGGCTGGCCCTTGCATATGCAATTTTAGTCTTCCAACATAACTCGCTTCAACTCAAAAGCTTACTTATGGCCACTCAAGTGATTGAGTTTTTGGTCCAAATCGGATTCTTTTTACTCTTTAAGGATAAAATAAGTTTTCAAATATTGACACTTTTTGCATGGGATGACAGCAACAACAACCATATCCCGGTCTTAGTCCCAAAAGTTTTTGTGATCAACTAACATGAATAATTATGTTCATGTATAATTATATCAAACTATAAAACTTATACTACGTATGCAGTATTTGGTGCTCAAGCATTATTCGAATTGAATATATTTGTATTTTTATTCGTATTGAATGTGATTCAGATCAAAATATGCACCAAGATTCTTATTGAAATTCAGCAAAAATGAACCAACATAACTGACTCGTTTACAAGGCTATATTGAACTAGTTTAGGTATTTTCAAGGCTTAACTTGGGAGCCAACTTGGGTCCAGGAGTACATTACGTCCAGTGGATGAAAATCATATTGTCAAAAATATGGTGGAAGGGGGATAAATCAAACCGACATAGTCAAGGAGCATATCTAGTCTTAATTTTTGTCAAGGATCAAATTGAGTTATACTCCCTCTGTCCCTTATATTTTGGCATTTTTTATTTTTTGGTTGTCCCAAAACTTTGTCATTTTCCTTTTAATCAATTAATTTGTGATTCCTATTATGTCTTTCCTCTCCACAAAACTCAACTACATGGTTCTTACTATATTGTTCTTCATGCCGCTTAAACTTGGCAAGGTCATAAGGAATGGAGGGAGAATAACAGTATATTTATAGTTCAGGGACAGATAGAGTATTACTTATTAATATTATTTTTATTTATTCCACAACCTGTGTTTCAATCATGGAATGAATAATGGACTGTGGGTGAATCACAATTTCAATGTCATCATACTCTGCCCCAAATAGATAATGAGCCTCGATTACTTCTAGACCCTATAAGAAGCATGAAAAAAGGATTATTTCTTGTGATGCAATTAAAGATATAGGGGAGACTTAAACTTGTAAAATAAAATAAAAAATTATTTACCTTATTGAATAGGGTGGCAGAATCAACGGTGATCTTTTTACCCATAGACCAATTAGGATGCTTTAAAGCATCGGCTACTTGCACATCTTTCAATTTATCAACAGGTAAATCCCTATCATTAATGGCAACGGAGAACATCAACATTGCTATTGTTTATCTTGATGCATACCATTCTTGCTAAATGTAAGTATGAAACCATCAAACATTTCTTAAAACATTTCAAGTTGGTTTTGAATAAATTATTATCAAGTTATTTGCTACCTAATAAATTTTAATTTATATAGTTATCTAAAATTAATGAATAATGGATAGTTTACGATTCTAGCATTTGCTTGATAATGCAATGTTAGGCATAAGGCATTGCCCATTGACATGGTCCTGCTGGTGATTGGCTTTATCACCCGCGTCTTGTTTGTCATACTTCGGGTGATAATCAGATGCAACAAATCCAGTGTTGGTTTCCTTGAACAAACAGTGTTTATCATTTTTTATTAGTATTCTTTTTATCTTCATTTTTTATCTTTATCTTTTTTATTAGTGTTCATTTTTATTAATCATAATTTTCCATCATTTGCAATGGAGCCAAAGATTCATTATTTTTTGGCTTGAGAATATGATGGAATAAAGCAAAACGGCTCACTAAACTGTCTGCGCTTCTTTCTTATGAAGTCAGTCCATGCAATTTTGGACGCGATTTTCACTACGGGTCATCCGGAAACAGTCTCTCTGTGCTTTAGTACAGGGGTAAGACTGTGTGAATCCGACCCCCCCTTACCCCACCGTAGGTGGGAGCCTTTGCGGCATTGGGGTAAATGAAAATGAAAATGAAATAATTTTCCATCATTTTCAATAGAGCCAAAGACTCACTATTTTTTGACTTGGGAATATGATGGAATAAAGCAAAATGGCTCACTAAACTGTCCGCGTATGGGTGGGTCATTCGGAAACAGTCTCTTTGTGCTTTAGTGCAGGAGTAAGACTGCTTACATCCAACCCCCCCCCTTACCCCACCGTAGGTGGGAGCCTTTGCGGCACTGGGGTAATGATGATGATGATCTTTTTTATCATAGCTTATCTTTTTATCGCTCTTATCTTTCTTTTCCTTTTAACTCCGATATCATGTATCAACTCATGTTACTGATCTCAAAATCTTTTGGGACTAAGATGTTGTAATACATAGTAATCATATTTCATTTTCTTTTGCTTCTCCTAAAGTAAACCAAACATAAGAAAATAAGTTTCCTATGAATTTCTTTCCTTTCACTAGCACTTTTTCGTGTATCCAAGCATAGCCTTAGACTTTGTAGAAAATGACTTACAGATCCTTAAACAGCTCTCTGTTATCTATGTGGTAAAACTACAAATAAAACATTTAACAATTTATTTTCCTATGAAAACTTTTTTTATGGAAACAATTTGAGCCTAAAACAGAGATTGGACCTCACACACAAGCTCGGATTCAACTACCCTACAGCTAGTCTTGATGAATAGCCCCTGGCCATGCTGTTATAATATAATGATAAATAAATACTAATAGAAAAGTATAATATTAACGGTACGACGAAGTGGAGAAAATGATGAAAAGAAATAATGTTAGAGGAGTAGATATATGGGTGCAGCGGGCTAGCTTAACTCAAAACAACTTAAAGTTTTACCATTAAGGGTCCAGCTCAGCTGGTCGCCGACTCACTCTCCCCTATGGGAGGTCTCGGGTTCGAAATCCAATGGAGTGAGTTTCAGCCCAGTTTATTCCAGACCCCCTCCCCCAGACCCCCTAGTGTAAAAAAAACAATAATCAAAGGTCTGTTTGTATTGAGGGTTTTGGAAGGGAAAACATTTGAGGGCTTAGTCTGCCTTAAATCTTGATCAATAGAATGTTTAAAAATAAAATGTAAATGATCACATATTAATAACCCTTCAATTTTATCAAAAAATCAAATACATGTATCAAGATATATGCATCCAAACCCTCCATTTGCATGTTAGGTGAGGCTATTATGGTGAAATTATCAACACCAGAACCTTAGTGAAGGTCAATTGAGTCAGTGAACAGTATCTTCTAACATGAAGGAAGAATTTCTGAGACTGAAAGGAAAGTTTTTTTTTCCTTTTTTTTAGCTCTCAGTCTGACTGAAAGGAAAGCATATGTTGATACTTGATATGTGCAAAATATTAGAAAACCCCATAGTTCTATAGTAGAACATAATATCTAATCCAAATCCATTACTTATACCTGAAAGCTCCTCCAGAAGCCGTTAGAATTATACGTCTAAGGGCACCCACTGGCAAGCCTTGAATACACTGACAAGAAAGATGCATTTTGTTAACCATTACAATTAGAAAGGTTCATTGTGGAAGTTGTTGGATATTTTGTACTAATTGTTGTGATACCGTAGCATGTACAAATTACAAAAACGTTTACACCAACTACAATACAGAAGCAATTCGCTCCATCCAGTTGTCTGTTGTTTTTTGCTCCTTTATCGCAGGCAGCAGGTCTCTTAATTATTACTTTTGTCGAGCGGGTCACTAAATTAAGTAGACAGAGTAGAAGTATTTAAGGTTTACTTGTTTATAGCATTATGGCATACACAAAGTTTTAAGTTGTATAAAAATTTGTATTTTATAAAATATATTTGCTGCAGTTTATTGTTGTATGAATATACAAGTATTCTTTATCATCTTTCATAAATATATTTTTTATTGCAGTTTTTAGTAAACTATCAATGAGTCCAGTTAATATATACTCCCTCCGTTTCCTTCTAAATGTCCCGGAAGAGGGTGACATGAGTTTTAAGAAAAGTGAGTTTGTGTGATTGATATTAATTGATAAAGTAAGAATAAAGTAAGAATGATTTTGAGCCACACAAATTTTACCAAATAAGGTATGTGACAATTAAATAGGGACATCCCAATATGGTAAAACGGGAAATTTAAAAGGGGACGGAGGGAGTAAATATTAACTGCAATTTAATAGTTAGGAATCAGCGGGGAGAATGTGTACCTGGAAAATGGCAGAATGTTCGGAATCAGCAGGGAGAATCTTCACATTATGCTTTTGAGCGAGAGGAAGGACAAATGGACCACCGGCAATTAATGTCTCTTTGTTGGCTAAGGCTATGTCTTTCCCAGCCTCTATAGCCGCCACTGTGGGCTAGAAAATAAAATCTTCTCAAATTTAATTGAGTTTTTGAAACACCATTGGCGAATTTGAAAGCATAAAAAAAATGAAGAGTTGTACAAAATTGGAGGAATCAGTTCGAGTGTTTCCTTTCTTACAACAACAACATCCAAGCCTTATTCCAAAAGAAAGGAGTATTTCATTTCTTAGATAAATAAAAATCAGAAGCAAAATTGTTTCCACTAGGGCCCATTTGGAACTTGAAAAAATACAACAAAAGAAGATATTGACAGAACTTCCAAAGAAATGAAAATACTGGGGAATATAAAATATTATTAAAACTCAATACAATAAACTTAGACATCTGTTCAAACTCATTTATTTATATACTATCCTTCGTTCTTTGATAGCTGCAACGGTTTGACTTTCACATTTGCCAACGCACAACTTTGACTGTAATTATATTTAATTACGTATTAGTAAACATTATAAAAGTTGATATTTTGAAAATTCACATTAATAGAAATTTGATAACATTTTATACATAATAATTTGTTTATATACTCCGTATATTAGTAGAAAATAGTGGTCAAAGTAAGATGGGTGAATACGGCCAAAATCACATTGTTACAACAATTAAAGAACGGAGGAAGTATATCTTATTATATAAAAACTAAGAACTCTAGTATATGTAAAACTTTGAAATCCTTTAATCAAATTATATTTTCCTCTGTTCTTATTTACTCGGGTAAAACCATAAATTTAAAGAAACATTGTCCTTAGCGGCAAAGTTTTCCGTTTCTCTAACATTTTCCAAGTTCCAAATATAGCCAAAGTAGTTAAAACATAAAAGATAAAGGGCCTAACTACACTACCTTAAGCCCTGCACAACCAACTATTCCAGTTACAACAGTGACAGCATCTGGATGCCGGGCAACCTGAATATTACACACTCATGTACATAAATACATATATATACACACATATATTAAGTTATTATATATATATAGATATATGCAAAAATAAAAGATACTCATGTTTATTTTAACCGATATATACGATAGTATTTATAATATGAAATGATATGGAAATGTTCTTTCTTTAAAAACTATCAGAAAACTATAAATTTATAAGTTTTGAAGAAATATATTAATTGAAACGTTTGACCAAAGTCAAAGACGGCTAATTAAAAGGGACAAGGGAGCATAACAATTTATTTAGTAAAATACTACCTCTGTTCCACTAACATTGGTACAAGAGGAGGTGGTACAATTACCAAGAAAAGTGAATTTATGTGATTGATATTTAATTAATAAAGTGAAAATAAAGTAATAATGATCTTGGACCACACAAACATTAACAAATTTGGTATGAGAGAATCTTAGTGAGACGGACCAAAAAAAGATGAGACAATCTTAACGAGCGAAGAGATTAGTATTTAAAGGGATATGTACTGATTAACCTCAATAGCTCCTTGTTCTCCTGGAATAATTTGAGGTTTATCTTCAAGTCCAGACAAAGCTTCTTTGAGTTCATCAACCAATGATTCGTGTCGTATTGAAACTAACTTTGGTCTAAATGTTTTGACCTGCAATTAATGTATAGTTAAATTTATTTAGTTGTAAAACTATAAAGCAACAAAATTTTAAAGTATGGCTAGAGCTTTAACCCTTTTAGCAGTCACCAAATGCTTACAAGCATCTGTAGCCAAATTACAATGTCAGCAAATAAGTATGGTTGTCACAGCGGCAAGACAAAGCGTGGCGCCAGCCAACCACCATATAGCCTAGGCGGCTAGTCACAACTTCTGTAATATTTAAAAACATACATATATTTTTTGACAGGACCCCCCCTACTGGCTGCCACCATTTGAGGTGGTTCCCGGGGGAATTTTTTATGAAACTTTGTGAAATTATAAGTATTGTGGAATTTTGACAGGACCCCCTACTGGCATCAATAACAGTTTTGTTGTCTGATCGAAAAGGTCATGGGTTCAAATCTTAGGAGCGGCCTATTCTCAAAATAACAATGGAAGATTTCCTCCTGATACACCCTGATGGTGGTGGGACCCTTCCCTGCATTGCAGGAACACCAACATGCACCAGGCTGCCCTTTTTAAAAAAGAGAACCTTGATATGGAATGTCCGAAAAGGCATGTGAAACTCTTAAATAAGCACTTCAGGCAATTGAGGTGTTTAACCAAACATGTATGTGTACTACTGTGTAGGTAAAGGTATAGATATGTGCAGAAAATTATATTTACCCACACATATCCAAAATGCAATGATGTGTGATTATCCAACAATAGGTAAAAGATATTGTCGACACATTGCATTATTTGTAAGTAATATTTTATTATTTACTTACACATGCGTGTGTGGGTGAACCATTATAGACTCTGGCATAGAAGTTTGAGGCAGAACTCCACAATAAGAAAATGAATTTAGAACTTGATAGCCCCATAGATCAGATACTCACTTGATCCACGAGAAGAGACACATTTGACCCAGCTGCAAGTGCAACAACTTTAAATTTGTCGGGGTTCTCAGCAACTATGTCCAGCGTCTATAATCCATAAACTTAAACCATAAACAACAATGTATACAAACATGCATAAAAGATCAAATAAAAAGCATAGATTATATTCTACCTAACAATTAAAGGATAATTAACATTGCATGATAGAATAATGGGATCACTTTTCCATGTGCAAAAGACAAGATAAATTCAACTCAACAGTCAACATTCAAAAAGGAGAATAGATGCATCACAAGTTCACTAAACATATATGCCCAGAAGACGCCCAGTTTGGTAATTATCTCTTTAAATAGTGGCACTTATGTTACTAATAGAAAGCCCCTCGACAACAAAGTAAAAAGTTCTATTTTTGTACAAATAAGAGGCCATATAAGAACTGAATGGGTCTCAAATGCCATTAAATTCCCTAAACCCTATATTTACTACTAATTTACGCTTTTCCAGATGGTCAGAGCCTTCACAGCCACTTCTGTAAGTCCTAGCAAATCTTCCTCTCCTATAGGTCTTCAGGGATTATTATTCGTTATTGTTGCTCCCAACTTCCTCTCTCAGAATGACAACCACTGATGCTCAATATCAGCAAGGAGGCTAATTGATTTTATTCTATTATAATATAAATAATCACTCAGCTATTTACATTAGTTGTCAATGGTTTGAAGTTGGTGGTTATATTTATAGCAGCTTTTACGACCAACTTTTACTTCAATGGTTTATATTATTCATTTTAACCAATGTTTACTTTAACTGTTTATGTGAAGGAGTTTAGTAATAGAATAATGGCAATTTGTTGTTAGCTGTTTGAAGGTATAAATTATAAATCACAAAACTTCCTCCAGAAGTTGTCTAACGATGGTGGCCTTTTTCTGTTAGTGTCATCTATAACAAATTGTCTATATATAACTTATATGCCCCTAGAATTCTTATTTTTTATTCCTAAATCAAAAGGCAACATTGAGAAGTTGAGCTAATTTGAATTCCTTTCCAAACACAAAAAATAACTTTTTAGAATGGTCAAAAAACTAACTCGTGAAAATGCTAAAATCTTTTCAAAATTTCTTTACAAAACAGGGCCATATTCCTAATGCAAGAAAGCTACAAAGTGATCATTCATAAAGTTATTTTAGGGGGTGTTTGGATCTGATTCTTAAAACTACTTCTGCTCCTTCAGGGAGAAGAAGCAGAAGTTGGAGCGTTTGGGTGAAAGTGCAGAAGTGATTTTGATACTCTAATTTACTCCTAGAATCAGTTTTTTTAGAAGCTGGGGGAGACGAGCTTCTAAAAACTTATTCTGATTCTGCTTATGCTTTAAAAAAGAAACAGAAGCAGAATCAGTTCCAAACGCCCCCTTAATAAGACATACAAAAATTTGGTTTTGTTTGGAAAATGAAGTAATAGCAGCATGACTTTTCATCACGTAATTAAACAACAAAACTATTTTATGTTATGAATTGAAGATTAAAGGTTGAGCATTGTACCTGAGTTCCAATGGAACCAGTTGAACCAAGAATGGAAATAGGCTTTGGACCATTCCAACTCTTTTGAATTGGTTCAGCCACTGCACTTCCTGGCCAAGCAGAAGGAGATGTCTTTATCACACACTCAACTCTCTTCCCAAAATTTCCACTACTTTTCTTTCTTTTTATTGAAGCCCCACCTAAGGTAAATATAAAAAATCAACAAAAAGGCAAACACTTTAATCCCTAACTCATATTCATAAATAATAAAAATGGAAAAAATGTCAATTTAGTACCTCTACTTCTCTCCCTAAGTATTTCAACTAGTTTTTGTATTGCTATGGTACTTCTATCAACTAGACGTTAGAAGAAAGTTAACGGAGGTACCAATACAATACCACTTAGAGTCTAAGACAAGTTGGAATACTTCATGAGCTCAAGTGTATCTTGGTTAAACTTTACTCCCTAAAGCCAAGTTAATGTACGGAAGTGACTTTGTTCCAAAAAGAAAAGAAATGAATATTGTTAAGCTTCATGCAAAAAATAATAACTCATTCAACAAATAATGTTATGAAACATTTTATCTTTTAATTTTTTAAGAACTCTTTGCAAGTTTAAAAATCAAATATCTAAGGTGAATTGATATTCCAATTTTTACTTTAATTGTGTATTTCATAGGAAAACCCAGCACAGCTTGAAAATCATAATAAAGACAAAATCAACTGTAATTAAAAAATACAAAATTCTTGATGTGATTTGAGAAACATATTACATTACTACACACACCCACACACACATATATTATCAACTAATTTGCAATTAAATGTAAAGGATGAGTGTGAATGAAATGAACTCTTTGAGAATTTAGATAAACTTTTTAAAGAATATAGAAAAAATAAACAACAACATCTAAGCCTTAGCTTCAAAAGATATTGAGGTCGGCTAACATGAATCGATATATGACATTAGAGCCAAAATGAAAATAAAGATAAGCAGCATAAGGCAAGACAAAGATAAAAACAAATATATAAGATAAAGATAAAAATAATAAGATAAGATGATTTGAAAGAATATATACAAAATAAAAAAGATACGATGATAAAGGACATAAGAAAGATAAAGAAGATAGAAAGATAGGATAAAGAAGATAAAAAAAGATCAATCCTCCACAAGAATATTTGCCCTCAACTTTACTCTCTCCAAAGTCATACTCTCTCATCCAATCCAAGAAGCAACATATCAATCTTACTTCTCTAATCCATGTTTGTTTGTGTCATCCTCTCCCTCTCCTCCCCGAATCTTCTTCTTATCTTTTAGCTCGTCTAACAGGTGCATTACTAGAGAGTACAGACTCCCGCATCTAATCTTTAATACTACATATGTGTTACTCTCACCTTTTGTCTGATTGTCTTGTTTCTCAAGCCGTGTTTTTTAGTATGTCCAACATCTAACGCAACATGTGCATCTCTTTCACACATATCTTTTGGATATGACATTGTTTCACCATCCAATAATCTACGTCATACCGTAATGCAAGTCTACTTGTTATCCGATAAAATTTACCCTTAAGTTTAGCCGAAGTGCTTCAAACACCTACATAAGCTCTCACGTTACATATTTTTCCCCCTTTCACATATTTCAACTCAAGATTTATACACTATTTGTATTTCTTGAATATTTTATCCCCTCCGTACCATTTTATAATATATCACTTTCTTAAATTGAACTTAAGTAACTTTTTATACATTGTGCACCAACAATAAGTTATAAGTAGCAGAATCACTCGATAACTTTTTAAATTTGTTAAAATAGTTCTATCTAGTAAAATTAGTCATTACTCATTTGCAAAAGGTCTTTAAACTCTACATATGAAGAATGTCTTCTTTAAACTCTACTTTAAGCTCATACCCTGAAGTGCAGGAATTTTATGGCAAAAGGATCCTTTTAATAAAGAATTAGAGCACAGTACTTACTGTAAAGTGGCAGAATGTTTTTGTTTAATCAAAAAACATGAACTTACTTTATTTAAATCTCCAACTTAGGCAAAGGTGTCATTCCTAACTTGTTGAACCTAGTACGAAATAAAGATCACCATAAAAATCTCGATGCTACGCTAAGCACTACTAAAGTATAAACCCAAAAAACATTAAGGAGTGTACTTTGGGTGTGTGAAAAGCTGCTAAAATGACAATTTACTATCATAATTGTGTTGAAATGTAAGTTCTGTAATACACAACGACAGTAAAATCGGGAAATTGTGAAATTGTTCTAGAATTTGAAAAACAACCCAGTACTTAAGCCTTCTGGATTACTCTGAAATTCTTTGTCATTTAATTTCATAGAATTTCTTTTGGTTTTTATTATTTAATTGGAGTGTATCAAGAACTCTAATTTACTTGTTTACATATAAGAATTAAACTAAAGATCTCGACATTTAAGAAGCAACCCGGACTTAATCATCAAATTAGGTTAACCAAGTCTTCAACATCTTTTATAGAATGAAATAGCTAAATTCCAATTTCAGAAAGTAAATTGCTACTTGCACACATAAAACTGAGCATACTTTCCACCATCAAATATTCACTTAAAAATAGGCCTTGGGACTTTCAAACAAGAATTTTAAGCAATTTACACAAATCCAAATTCTCAAAACAAAAATTACTTTGTACTCCGTATGTAGCTGTTCTTACCTATTTTTTATAAGTTCATTATCTCCAAAATAACATGGCACTACTTAATCGAAATTCAAGTATGGCAATAACAGAGATCAAACACCACTGAAATACTACAGGGGCAAATTTCAAGCTACCAACTTCAACAGGAGCAACAGAAATTTCAATTTCAGATTTAAGGCTTCAATATATTACAGCTTTGGGTTTCTTACACACACACACTCAAAGTAAAGGGAATACGATACAATTACTCACTAATTCAAAGACTAAAAATACAACAGCGGTTCACTCTAGAAAATATATCTCAATAATACGACATTATGACTTGATAAATAAAACTAAAATAAAAAATTGTTCAAACTTTGACAAATTACTAAAAATTGTTCGAACTTGTACTCATTTAACTGGGCGCGATAGAATAGGCAGTTAGTATTTAACATAGAGAGAAAGGGTGACTGTTTTAGAATGAAAAAATACTATACATTATTTGAACATTTCAGATCGTAAATTACTTATCTGTTTGAGCTCATTTTTCTTATTGTATCAAGTACATTATCTCTTTTATTATATTATTGATTATTGATTATTAATAGTCTTGGTTAAGCTTTACCTTTTATTCAAGAAACAAACATATATTCTCAAATAGATTATGTGGGGGATGAAATTACAACTAAAGTGATTTAAAGAAGCAAAGAATATAATCATTTAAATGAAACTTAGAAATACAGCAGATTTTGGAGCTCACAGCATATTCCGCCGGAGCTGGAAAGGCAGAACTGTGTCAGTGTATGAGCTGAAACACATTTTCCACATACGCCGCCAGAGCTGGAAAGGTACAACATCCGTGTTGCTATAATTGTTAACATGCGGCAGATTTAGGTCTTTAAAGACGAATATAAGCTTATGTCTTACAAACATACCTGCGAGTGAGGTAAATTGAGGGACAACTCGGAGATCCAACAATTGACATCTGCTTTCCTGACTGATATATAGCAGGCGACACGCGGAAGAATATTTTTTAGGGGCTGATGAGAGTAAGAGATAAGAGGTAGACAGGAAGATGATTTTTAGTGAACACTAATACAAATTAAGGATATGTTTGTGTATATATAGCTTTCAAAATCACAGACAGACACACATTTATACATAATAATAAAAACATATTAACACAAACTGGAAAGATACCTCAAAGATAGAGTTGAAAATTCAATTAAAAATGATTTGTTAATATGGGGATTGCAGAAGGACCGAAGTAATGATTTCACAACAGAAGAAGCATTCCGGAAATGCAGAGAATGTGTGTCAAAACCACTTCATGTTCATACAGTGCAACAAAAACACAAAATGGGGAAATGAAAGAACGGTTAAGAACGAACCTCAACAACACCGTCTAAGCTGATCTGTTCACTGCTGATAAGATATAAAGGCGATATGTAAGAACAATGAAAACAAGATACGACAAAATAAGAAGACAGATAGTTATAATCGACTAACCTCAGTATATTAGACGAACGGCGTGGTGTAGGCTGCGACCTAGCTAAGTGGAAGGTAGATACCGTATATTGATTGGGTTGGGTTTTAACGGTGTGAATGGAGGAGATTGAAACGGAGATATAGCGTGCGACAGTCTGGCTGAGAGATGAGCGGTAGGGAAAGAAGATTGATCGGATTGTTCAGCCACTGTACATCCGGGCAAGCAGGCGAGGATATGCCTTTATCAGTCTCAGTGCTCTTTCCAAAATTTTCGCTACCTTTGTTTCTATCTATAGAAGCCCCCACCTAAGGTAAATACTCCGTATAAAAAATCAACAAAAAGGTAAGCATGCCTAACTCCACTTTAATGCCTAACTCATACGGCGTCGTAAAATACTAGTTCCTCCCGTGGACATTGCAAGTTCAAAGCACTACAATGTTACAATGCTACAATGTGCACGGTGCACATGTGGCATGAGAGAGATAGACATAAAATATTGATTTTATGACATTTCTCTCTCCTTCTTTCAACGGTCTTATGTGTTTTTGGTAAGTTTTTGTCTGCAATGTCAACTACAATATCTACATCTAAACATTGTGTTTGACAATGTGAAGAAAAACTTACCAAAATGATGTAAGATCCTTCAACTAAGGAGAAAGATATTCTACTTATTGTTTTTTAATTGGTTATTTCTCGTGACACGTATGCAACATCAACAGTTTAGCATTGGAGATGCTCTAAGTGGCAAATAAGAAAAGTAAAATTGTGTGATTAAGGTTTGTGCGCAGGAGAGAGAATTGAACAGAAACACAAATTAGTTACTTTAATAAGAAAGTGGTAAAGTTTTCTTACACAACCAAAAGGGGAAAGTTGGTAAATTCCAACGGAGCAGAGGGAGTGCGAGTTTGTTATTTGCACACACTTTTATACATACTCTTATACTCACTGTTATACTCACTGCCTGTGAGAAGATGTTTTTGTCTGTGAACAGAGTATCTTAGGGATATTTGTTTCCTATTGTACTTAGACTCTCTTATTATTTATAAACATGCGAGGACTTCCTGTTGGAGCATCCATTTCCCATTATCTCACTCTTTGTACTAGCTTCGCCTGTCAAAAAGGCTTGTAATATTATGTGTGTACAATTGTACATAATTGGTTTAATGTATCAAATTCTCTCATAAGTAATAAATTTAGCGCATTAGTTTCTTGTGATTTAAAAAAATACGGCAAATCCCGCGTGTTATAAACTTATAAATAATCATGCGCAAAATATCTTTTATGACTGAATTTAATTGTCAAATAAAAGGAAAGTGATTATATATAATTTAGATATTTTGATAAATTTACTTGATATTCAGTCATAATAATAAGAAAGGTTATTTATACATTGTTAAATTTGTTCACAGAAGGAGTTCTGTGCAGAGTCGTCCAATCATTTTGGAGGCCCCGATTCCACCTTTAAAACTGAGGCGCCACATTAAGAGCCCATTTGGTAAAACTAAAATCGGCTAAATCAGCTGATTCTGCTAAAATTTATTAAGTTCTGACTGAAGTGGCTGCATTGGCTGATTTTGTTGATTTATGAAAAAATCAAGCTTATAATATATTTTATTAATAAAATAAAGAAAAAATTATATACAAAATAGTTAAAATGGCCCTCTACAGTAATTTTAGCCGATGCAGCCAGAAAAGTGACTTCAACATTACTTTTTCTTATTATTACACAATTCAGCGCGTGGAAACGAAAGTTTCATTTTTGGTGAAAAAGTTGGCCTATAAGCCTAATGAGACGAAAAACGGTGTTGCCAAACGGCCTCTAAAATAATAAAATAAAAATCTCAATCTAAATACTTATGCTCAAATCAATTGATAGATTCAGACCAGATCAACAAGATTCGACTTATATCAGATCATAAATGTTACAATGTTTGTCCCACACCGGAAAGCTATAAAACAATTAAATTTGAAAAGTAGATTCTTATTAGATGAGTTGATTCAAGTAAACTGCTTACATGATTGAGTTAGCTTAGTCAATTCTAGTTGGTTTGTAGCTAGTGCGCAGCAGCAGCCTAATTGTTCTCAAGAAGTTTTGCTAAATTTGAAAAGTAGATTCTTATTAGATTTTACATTTAATTAAAGATTTAAGAGAAGAGCTTACCGGAAGACGTTATCAAGGTGGCACATTTATCTGAGTATTTTGAGTTCAACTGTTATCAGGTTAGTTCACTACCACCTGTACATGTTGGTTCAACCAAATAAAAGAAAGAAGTCTGGTTGATTTTTAATAGATTATTTTAGTCTATGTGCTATTATGTGAACCTGGTGAATTATTTGCTGAGTTATTTTAATTGCTGTATTAAGTTGTGTTTATTATCTGGCACAATCAAGATTTTGTTAGTACTTTAGTTTTCAGATTTAATGATGTTTTTAATCAAACGTCACCATAAAAAGAACTAATATTTAAAGTGAAAGATCAGGTGATATGTACTCGGGAACAAGTTCCCTCAGATTAGCAGTTTACAGTTTCAGATGGTCCGATATGTTTAGTGGGTCGCTCCCCTGAGCTGTCGGATTGGCGCCTTTGAGTACATATCACGGGCCCGCAGTTAAAATTAGCCACAAAGATGTTTGAGATCTCTTTCAGAAAGTTTTACAAAGAGGTTTGAGAAAGAAATTTTGAGATCTCTCCAACAGTTTTGAGAAATTATTTTAGAAAATATTTTCCTTTTGAGACCCCCCTCAGAATATGTTTGAGAAGTTATGTGTTAGTTATTTGTTCAGTGCATGCTTATAGCCTAAATTTATCTATTGATAAATTGGCCTAGACTTCTAGATATTTTTGTGGAGCCATAGTGACTTACTAAGCGTAAAGTTTATCAGTTTTTCTTCTTCGCATGTACAGATACTAAGGGTAAGGCCAAAGCCTAAGAAGATGATGAGAGAGTGGAACGCGTGCCAAGATGAGTTAACGTGAACGACTGGTGGCTTCTAACTAAATATTATTTTGTTTTCAGTATTTCAGTGTTATAATAAAGTGATAAAGATTACTTTATTTTTATTTGAGGATTTGAAGTTCAGTAAATTTCTGGATCCAGGTGGTTATCACATTTGCTGGTGATAACTACATTTTATTAAATTTTTATTTGGAGTTGTTTTAGTTACTTTTGAGATTTTATCAGTGTTATTTTCTTAAATAGACGGTCGTTATACTGCAGTTTATTTTTAAAAGTAGTAGATTAGTGTAACGTCTCCTTTAACCCTGAGAGGGGCGTTACAATACGTCAAAACCAAAAAAAGTAGGATACGGATACGGGGTCATATTTATAAATATTAAAAGTTATGGGAATGTATTTACAAATATTAAAAGTTATAGGGGTCTATTTATAAATATTAAAAATAGATTTTTTTTTGAAAATATATACACATATATATATATATATATAATATCCTATGATGTATACTCATTCATTGCATTGAAGCATTTTCTTTTTTCAAGATACTTAGTAATAAATTCATAATATTTCTTATATACACTAGTGCATCTCAAAATATAAATGTAGTCGATAAGTCATTAATTTAAAATGAGAAATAGGTCAAACAACTACAATCTTGAAATTAAAAATGCAAGTACCCAATTCGGAGTATGAGTTAATGACTTAATTCAGATATAGCTTTTTGGGAAAAGGGGCAAATAAGCCCTCGAACTAATCAAAAAAGTGCAAATAAGCCCTTTTGTAGGAGCTTTCGTCTGTCTATCGTCATTTGGGGAGGTTCCCGGTGAAATTTTTTGATGAAATTTTTTGAGCATCTTATTCATTAAGTCTAGTTTAGTCATACCGAATTTCAGCTAAAAAATCAATCGGGAAGACAGTCAAATGAATTTTTGAAGATTACTGCGCAGTTAAACAACGTAGTGTAGTTCCGAAAATCATTTGAGTGTCTTCCCGGTTGAATTTTTAGCTGAAATTTGGTATGACTAAACTAGACTTAATGAAGAAGATGCTCAAAAAAATTCATCAAAAAATTCCACCGAGAACCTCCCCAAATGACGATGATCGGACAGAACCTTCTACAAAAGGGCTTATATGCACTTTTTTTATTAGTTCGAGGGCTTATTTGCCCCTTCTCCCTAGCTTTTTATGCCCATTATTTTATTACCAGGTAAAATGTAGATTTAGATTTTCATTTTTGTAGAATTTTATTAAGTAAATTTAGGTATTTAAAAAAAAAGTTGATAAGGGATTTTAAAAAAAAAAAGTTGATACGAGTATCGGAAACTTTCAAAAATTATAAAAAAATGGAAACTTTTGAAAATTGGAGATACGGTCCGAAAACGTACGGTACGGGTATCCTAGAGTATCGGATGCGGGAACGTATCGGATACGACGCCGATACGCTACCCTAGGGAAATATCCGTGCTACATAGATTAGGATTGTCCTTGGAGTTTATTTGCAAAAAAACTAGAATCACTTTGAAGCTAGTATATCCCAACTTCTAAATTTTAACTTTAAAATGTTTTTTTAAGGTAGATTATATGGTACTCATAAGGTACCATACCTTTGTCCACATGGACCAATGAGAATGTAGCAGTTGAATTATTTAAATCTAAATTAAAAATGATAAAGTGATGTGGTCCAATCAAATGAATGATAGATACGATACCCTATATTTTAGAAAAGTACCGGAGTTGTCACCTTTATTTAATTAGAAGTTCTGGCTAGCAAACGTCATTTTTAGCTTTTTAGGCAGTGTTTTCAAACACTTTTGAAAAGTGCTTTTCAACTTATTTTCTAAAATAAGCTAAAAATGGTGTTTGCAAGACCCAACTTCAACTTAATTTAAAGTGCTTTTAAGCCAAAAGCTCAAAGCATGTATAGGGATGCTTTTAATAGCTTCTAGGTTTTTTTTGTAAATAATTACAAGTTTGAGGGTAATTATTAAACAACTATTTTGATTAAACCCAAACTACCCTCCCTTCATTTCCCTTTGTGTCAGACCTTGTTGGCGTTGTTGCCTCATTGACCGGACTGCTTATGTTCCATGAACCCCACCACCGGCCACTCCCATACCCAACCGGAGTCCGGTGGTCAAGATTCCGGCGACGCCGTGCAAAAACAAGATCGGAGACCATTTACAACTCTGCCTCTTCAAGAATAGGGTGGATTACTGTCGAATTCATGCCGTTCTCATCCCAAGATGTTCTGCTTTTGGGCTACAGTTCCGTCGGCCTGGGCCGCGACGATGGCTCACCACAAATCCGAGTGGATCTGGTGGGATGACTTGGACGCCGCTTTTTCAAGTTGGGGTTCATGGAACAGAATAGGAGCTCCTCATCTACTTCAAAAGGGGTAGTCCACGGGTGGCTGGACCAAATGGAGAAGAGGAGTTCTCAAATTCATTTTTTGTTTGATTTTTGGTCTTCTGTGTTTTTTTTGGACTGGTTTTTGTCTTCTCTTTTGGGAGCACAGTATTGTTCGTATAGTAGGATGGAAGATGGCTTGTCAGTGGAGGTATAGAAAGGACATTTTTGTCTTTAACAAAATATCATATCAACAATCACTTTTTTAACAAACACTCCAACTTTTACATTTTAATTAAAATCACTTTTATCTTCAAACACTACCCACTTTTACTTAAAATCACTTTTCCAATAATCTCTTAAATAAATCACTTCTGAAAAGCACAAGTTCTTGCAAACACTCCTTAATCACTGCTTTTGTATTGGCGAGAGCCATTTTCTCTACTCGAAGCTGCCAACCGGAAAAGTGTAAACGGCGCGAACAACCCTGTAAATGGAAACTTCGGTCACCTCGTCGATGCCCAGTTTCGACGATTGGGATCGTCCTTTCACCGATGTTGAACTCATTGAAATCGAGGCTGCATTTCAATCTGCCGCCACGAAGCAACACGATCCCGTCAAGTCCTCCGACCACGATGTGGACGATGATGGTAGTGCCGACAAAAACTGCTCCCGGAGACTGCCCGCCTCACTGTTCTCAAATTCACTTTATGTGTCTCCTTTCCATAGACGTCGCTTTAAGAATAATTGTAATGGCCTTTATCCTCTTAACCTTAACCCTCTTGTTTTTAAGTTCAAGAATGTACATTACTTCAACTTTAGTATCACTGATGTGTGGCTATTGGATTGTTATAGCTAAAAGGTTTCCAGAATTAGCCTTCCGAGGGCGTGTTGTGTACAGCAGAACTTCAGTTGAGGCCGAAAAGTCTGCAGCAGAGCTTTTAAGTTTTATTGAAACCAAAAGGAAAGTAGGAGTGGTTGCTCTTGGACTTGACATGGAATGGAAGCCCAGTTTCAAAAGAGGTTGGTATTTGAAGGAAATACTGGTCCATAAGGACAGTGGGAAATACTAGAGAAAGATGATAGAGAATAAAGGATGGAATTTGAAGGAAAGAAAACGCACAGAAAAATAAAATATTGATTCTTTCATGTACTCTCTTTTGCTTCTTCATTAATAAAATTCCTTTTCCCAAAAAATAAATAAAAATAACACACACACACGGAGTATATAATATGGAGTACTAAGCAATTTAGACACATTTAAAAGTTTAGAAAACACGAATCATATCTTATCTTACTTTGCATTTTTAGGTACATCGGCACTACATCCAACCACAAAAAATTGATTTTTATTGGCATTTTCGTTAGTTTCCCTGGGTTTTTTGGGATTCAAACACAGGCACAGCCCAAATGTATTTTTAAATTTGTCAATAAACATTACACCTGCTGTGAATCTGGGGTTTAAGACGTGGTCTGTGAACTGCTTTTTATTTGTTCATGTTATCAACAAGACTAAAGCAATCCAGAAATATTGAGACTAGACTGACCAGGTTGATAAGGACAGACTTGATCTAATATTTCACACAAGAAAATTAAAAAATTTAAAAACAATCATATTAGTCATTAGACCAGAAACATAGATAAAATCATATCTGGCTTGAAAGATTTACACCAGACCAAATCAATGGCATAAATTCAGATCAGATCAATTCTTTTCACGCGAATAGAAGTCTTTATCCTGTCAGGATAATATATGTTCCAGTTAAGTTTGAGTTCAACTCAATTGTTTTTATAATTATGAGAATCTAATGTGCATAGAGATTAAGCCCTTACTGTTTAGTCTTTTCTCTAGCTAATGATGGCCACTTGGAGATCATCCCTTATTGGCTTTTCCCATGCAAATACTGCAAAATATTTTTTTGTGAAAATTGACCGTAAGTTATTTCTCAACAGCAAAAGTAATTTACAGTGGCCGATAAAGTTTTTCTACTCTATAAGTGAACATCATGGTGCCAAGATGGTAATTAGATTCATCTTGACCTTAGTCGTGTTTATTCCTTTCTTTATTGGAGGAACAGGATTTAGAAATTTCATTTAACTTTATAACTTGAAGTTGAAATTTGGGAAACTCCCTTTTGGCCCCTGTATTTGTGTTCATACCTGGAGGGGCTGTTAGGTTGGCCTAATATTAAATCCTTCCCTTGATCCGGAATACTAGAGAAAGTATTGGTAAATAATGAGTAATGACAGACTCATTAGTTCCTCCATGTAGGTGTTGCCCCTGGGAAAGCAGCTGTTTTGCAGATATGTGGGGAAATGAGTCATTGCTATGTATTCCATATATGCCATTCTGGAATCCCACAAAATCTGCAGGAACTTCTTGAGAGTTCATCCGTCGTGAAGGTTATCATCTATTTATTCTTAATTTGCTGTAAAGTGTAGCTTTGTTATTAGTCACTCTGTGTGATTGTTCTTTGTTTGTTAACTTCATGCAACAAACATGTTCAGGTGGGCTCAAACATTGCAAATGATGCCCGCAAATTGTTCCTAGATCATAATGTATCTATTACAAATTTGGAAGATCTATCTGCGCTAGCCAATCTAAAGCTTGGTGTGGATCCCAAAAGTTGGGGTCTAGCTTCATTGACTGAATCACTCCTTTGCAAAGAGGTATTGTAACAATGCATCCGCACACTCACAGCCACACACATATAATTATTTCCTAGAATATCAGTCTGAGCTGCAGAACATGGCGAATTGTATTAAATATCAGTGATTCATCATTGTTTAGCAGCCTTCAATAATGCCCTCTATACTTCTTTTTTCTTTCCAACTAAAAGATATTGCTTATCGTATTTTGTTTTATCAAGTGTCCTAGTTGTTCTTGGTGTACCTTTTTTTAGGCTTAGTAATTATTATTTCCCCAGTGTGAAATTTAATTGAGCATTTGGACTTCTGTAGCTCCCTAAGCCAAGCCATCTCAGATTGGGAAATTGGGAGACTCGAGTTTTATCCAAAGAGCACTTATGTTATGCTGCCACAGATGCTTTTGTTTCATGGCACCTATATCAGGTAAACTAGAATTAGTAATTCCATTGCATCTTGGTTTCCCTTTGGAAAGGACAACATGATCAGCTTCAAATAGTTCTTTTTTAGATTTACAGGTACTTAGATCTTTTATAGCCCGTTTGGAAGCTATTTCTGGATTATTCTGCTTCAATAGAACAACATTTTTTTTATTCTTTTATTAGGCGAAATGGATTCTACCAAGCACTTTATCTTTATTAAGACGTTTCTGCTAAGTAACCCATATTGACAGAATAACAGTTATTTTAGTCTTTATATGGGTATAATAGAAATATGTAAATAAAGTGAGTGAAGTAGTGAACAAAAATTTAAAATTGATTCGTTGAGTTTGAACCTATTTAACTCCCCCTTAATTTCCAAATCCCTCCTCTATCTTCCCTATTCATGTCCTCTATTATTCACTAGATTCTTACCGAACCCTTAATGTTCTCCCTTGTCTTCTCTCCGGGGATACCTTCTTTGTTATAGGTGTTGAAAAGCCTTCCCGATGTCGTTGATGATAGAAGCAATGAACCAAAGCACGTTGATAGAGAGTGAGTTTGTTTTCCAACCATTTGGTCCGGTCCAACCAGCTCTCTCGGTGCTATTATTATGTAATCAATTGCAAAACCAATCTTTTCTTGTGAAGAGGCACAATGAAGGTACTTATTGCGTACTAATACACCCTGAATCGTATATTGTGGAGGGAGTGGCATCAGTTGATTAGTTCTTACATATTTTTTTGGTTTATTATGTTATAAGAGATGGAGTCCCTTTTGTTTGGTTCCCAAAAAGTTTCTCTTTTGAAACCAATGCTTATGATCAGAAGCCTTGTTTAAGGGCGATCTTAAGCGGGAGGTTTAGTTTGATACGGCTGAGTTCCCCATTTCAACACCATGCAAGATGTTGGGCATTCAAATTGATACAGACAAATTCCCCTTTACAGATACGTTCACCAGATAAGTTATTGTCAGAAGTGTTGGAGGAATTCAAATTGATCTTGGGCATCTTCAAAATGTCCAGCGGCATTGGATGATCTTGCACAGTAGAGCTACAGAAGTTTGAAACATGTCATCCATTAACTAACTCTATTATTGTACTTCATGTTTAATTTTTTTTGGATGTTGAAAGATTGCTATTTGAAGTTAATGTTTTTTTCCTTTTCTTGGGGAACTGTGCTGGTTCACTGGATTTACTTTGGCATCGTTGGATAAGCCACATTATTTGGTTGATAGCCATGTTTTTGTCAAAAGTGAATATGTTTGTAGCATTGTTTATGTCTTTATGAAGTGCAGATTTTGGATAACGTTATTCATCTTTTTTAATGGACCGTGAATGTATTTTTTCCCAAGTACATAATAATAATAGATAAATGGAAAGCAATTTTGTTCACACTGAAAAAATTAAGATATGTTATTACTTTTATGCTTTAATTGTTAATGAAATATGAATTGTATTAAACAAAACAAGGGTAGGATTGGAAAGCTAGTGTGGTTCAGGGAATTATAAAATCATACTCATATTTTTGCAATTAAACTATTTAGAAAATTTCTCTTTGGACATAATTTGTTTGAATGGGGGATTCATGCTAGCGAATAGGGCTGGACTCGGGCCGGTTCGGGCCCGGGCCAGAAAATTGGGGCCCGAGCCCGAACCGCCGGTGGCCGGTTCCGGTTCCGGGCCAAACCGGGCCGGGCCAGGCCGGGCCGAATTGGTCCAATTTTTTTTGTTCTCCTATTTAACCCCATACCCCTCCCCCTCAATCCCAAACCATCTCAAATGACCCAAAATACCTAATCCAACCAAAAACTTAAAAAAATTTCAAAAAAAAAAAAAATTAAAATCCGGCCCGGACCGGGCCCGAACCGGCCGGGCCGGTTCGCCTAAAGCAGGGCCCGAGCCCGGACCGCCCATCACCCGGGCCGGGCCAAACCGAACCGTTGGACCCACCGGGCCCCGGGCCGGGCCGGGCCAAACAGTAACCGGGCCGGTTCCGGGTCTGGCCGCCCGGGCCGAGTCAGCCCCTACTAGCGAATATTGTAATGGCGGCGGCTGGAGAGTTACTTTTCAGGTGTTATCACATATCCTGAAGTTGAAATTTAATGCACCCATCTTTATCTATCACTAATATTGCTCGTCTTATTTTGCGTATTTTAAATTGAATGTTGTGACACCAGAAATTGGAATTAGGTAAGAATGGACCATGCTCATTCTTCTCATTTGATTGAAACTGTTGTTATTAACTCCATCTAGAGTCATCTTTAATTCAAAGTTGAAAGTTCATAAAATATTAGACTCCCATCATCAATATTTTGATAAATCGAAAATTCAGTTCTTCTTATAACCATTTTAAATAACCGAAATAAATCACAGTTAAAATCGAAAAAGTTCCTTAAAAGTGTTATGAGACTTACTATTTCTCTTGTTATTATTGAATTTGTATGTTTAAACCTACGTGCAAATTCAATGATAACAACAATCGTAAGTCTTATAACCGGGGCCGGGGCGTGGCTAGGAAAAAAAAACCAGGAGCGTGGCTACCATTAATGGTTGGGCTGAGCCGGTACAAAGAATTTTTCATATATATTTTTTTCATATAAATTTTTACACTAAAAATACAAAGAATTTTCAAATTTGGGGCGGGTCGTGACCCGGTTGGCCACCCCTCTACCTCCGCCCCTGCTCATAACACTTCTCAGATGAGTCAAAATATAGAAATTACAAATCCAATTCACACATTTAGGAGATATATTTCATATACAATCCACAATCCACATATTTGGGTTGGAACAAAATATAAATGATATACGTACCTATTACTAAAACAAAAATTCAGTTCGATATTTGGTACGTACCGTAATTTCAGTATTGATTTGATTCGACCGTTGTACTGAATTGTGCACACCCCTACATATGACTCTTTTATGGAGTCATAAAGGGAATCAATTATAAAAGGAATCATATGGACATATATGGCTCTCCAATAACCGTTCATTTTATAGTAAGGGATTGAGGGCCATATGTCTCGTAAAGACTTGATTCCATAAATTTCTCTAATGGGTTGGATAAGATGTAAAACAATCACTTTGCATGCGCAGTGCAGGAACATAAGAGATTTACATAAAAGACATAATTATTCAATATAAATTGTAGAACATTTTTAAAATCATTTCACACTGCATCATGTAAATAGTTTACGTTAACGAAAATTGGTAAAATACTTTGAATGCTTTTAATAAATGATTACAATGACTTTGCATACAATATAATCTAGAGAAAATTGGGTGTATATACACATTTAAATATAGGCCTTTAAGTTAATGTTATAGATTAGTAAAAATAAACTAGATAGCCTCTGATCTATTAAAAACTGCCGATGCACTTTGTCCATTGTAGCCTTGTGGCAGGTCTCTCAACCATTCACGATCTCTATATATCAATCCGCAATTTCCTTCCAATCTTGCTAGCAATGTTGGAAAATCCATGTGCCGGACTTGGGTCCATACATCCTCATTTTGAAAGCCATGGTGATGACTGATGAGAACAATCATCATAACAGCAGTGGCGGTCAGGGGAGAGGGAGGGCTTCCATCATTCTTCAAAATAGCGAAGCATGTATATAAACGACGAAGTACGTAGTTTGAGACGGCCTTTGCCTCAGAATGTTAGCACTAGATTATTTGGTGTCCATTTATGATACGCAGTATATAAAAGGGTATTTGTTATCATAATTAGGAAGAAGGGTTAGATATGGAACTTAAAAATTTACGGCTTTATATTAACAAGAAAAGTGCTATGTATTTAAATAACCGAAATTGAAGCTACTAACTTCACGTATCCTATTTTTTTAAGGTTATTTAGCATTTTTCCCTATAATCTAATTGAATGCGTAAATTTTGTACTTTTTTCCAAATTAATGTCAAATAAAATATTATTTACGAAATTAGGGTTAAGTTAAATGTATTTTACCAAAATACCGCTAAGAACAACCCTAGTTAATGAAAGCCTCCAAATGAGTCCGCCACTTATGCTTTGAACGGTAAGTAGCGCACAAGGAACAAAAACGTAGCACTCAGTAAGCTTATGAAGGTGGGACCCCCAATTTTTTTAAAAAAGCTCTCTTTTTAAAAAATTGATATAACTTCGTGATTTATAATCTAATTTTATAAAAAATATAACAAAATTCATGTATAAAAATAAAAATAATTTTGAAGACACAATTCATGTATGATTTTAGGTTTAAAATTTTTCTTGAGTAGATTATGGTTCTAAAATTAAGAGCAAGTTTGGTAGCATTGATATCGGCTGAATAGACTGATTCTGGTGAAATAATTTATGAAGTTTTGACTGAAGTGTCTATATTAGCTGATTCTGCTGAAATAATTTATGAAGTTTTGGCTGAAGTGTCTATATTGGCTGATTCTGCTTATTTATGAAAAAAAAAATTTAAAATATTTTTTATTCAATTTGAGTTTTTGAAAAACCGCAAACTCAATTAACGAATTACGTTTAAAATTCGAAATACGAAGGATAGCAGCATCGGCTAATAAGCCGAAAGGCTGGATGAGATCCACAATATAAAAAAAGAATCTTTTCTTCTACTTTGCTATAACTATTATATTAGTATTTTGATTTTAACAAAAAAAAACGCAATTCATAATTTTTTCTATATTTCATATGACACCAATATTGTATATAAACATGAAAATACGATTGATAGAGGCTTCTAAGTTCAAATTTTTTCTTAATTGAATCCAAGTCCTAAAATTAAGATCTGATTGTATAATGCAATTTCATGCTGCACTTAGAAGACATTTTATTTATTGGCTGAAACATTTTATTTTAGCGCATGTGCTTAAAAAAATTATTTCAAACAACAATTCAAATTCAATCAACAAAATAAATAACTATTACAAGCATTCCCTGCTGATACTTTTAACAAATAAATAAAATTAAATGTCCCATAGTTCATAGTTGTAGCATAAAGTTGTGCTATTGAACATTTGAACCGTGAAATCTTAACTTTGGAACTTTGACCCACTCGTGAAACAATTCGAACCTAAAATCATACACGAATTGTGCCTTCAAAATTATTTTTATTTTTATATATGCAATATTGATATCATATGAAAGAAAATAAAAAATCATGAACTTTTATATATTTTTTTATAAAAATCATACGGAGTATTATAAATCAAAAAGTTATACGATAGTATCAATTTAAAAAATAGAGAGATTATTTTAAATTGGGGGTCCCACTTTCACAAGCTTATTGCGTGCGATTTTGTTGGCTACTTACGGTTCCAAGCATATAAGTAGGGGTGTGCACGGTCCGGGCGGTCCGGGATTAGGGTGATCCCGGTCCCGACCCAATTAGTAATAACGGTATGAGACGGGACGGGGCATGCCTTTGTCTTAGTCTTGTCCCATTTAAATCGGGACCGGATAATTCGGAACGGTTCAGGACGTCCCAAACTAACAAAAGAGTATTAAATAAAAAAAAATCATCATTTCTAATTAAAATATATTAGTATTTCTAAAGTATCATGCACCAAATATTAACATTTTAAAGTCAACTAATGTTCATAACAAGTTATCCATCACAAAAAAAAAAAACTAAAAGCTATTAGATTTTAATTAAGTTTAGCAAAAGAAGAAGAAAAATTCAAAACAAAGCAGATAAGAATTATTTTATTCGAAATTATGTGTTCTAGATGTGGGAAACTCATATGCAAATATATAGAGACTGAGATACAAACTCAAGTTAGTAAATATTTATGTTAGATATTATTTTTAATTTAAAAAATTGGGCTTGAAACATACTACTACCTCCGTCCCATTTATATTGTCTTTTTACGGTTTACGATGTTTGACCGACCATAAAACAAACAGATCCCTGTCCGCACTCAAATCATTTTTAGAGAAAAAAATTACATATTCAGAAACTACATTTAAAGCTTTACAAAGTCGCAAAAACTTGAATCAAATTTGATAATTTTTTGATATATATATAAAGTAAGAAATTAAGAGTGATTAGTGTTAACCAAGTAAATAGGAACTGTGACAATATAAATGGGACGGAGGGAGACTTTTACAAACTAGTCACATGCTAAAAACTACTCCGTATATAGTTATTACAAACGGGACAACAGGACGGTTCGGGATAACCTTTTGGTGTCCCAGTCATGTCCTGTTTTAAACCGGTACAAGATCGGGGCGAGACATAATAATCGGATCCCAAACGGAACGGGACAACACCGGTACGATTTCGGGATAAACCGGAATGTGACAACGGGACCGGGATTCTTGCCTACCCCTACATATAAGAGCATCTCCAATAGAAATGTGGATTGCACCATACAAAAAAATGGACACGTGTGGTATATCAATAGCCCGTGAAGCTGATGTGGAAGCATGGACAGTAGCTATCAAATTTTATCTCCAACGGCTTCATCTTTCTTCTATTCTCTATGCAAAGCAATATCAATTTTCACATACGTAATACGCAATATATATACATACTCACCTCACCTATGACAAAAGCAGGCAACAACACTCAACAAAACGGCTCAATCAACTCACATAAATATATATGGACAAAAGCAGATCCAGGATGATTGGCAAAGAAGTGGCCGACTGGATAGGGGCGCAGGGTTACTCCGACAGTCCCAAAGGCATCTTGGACGTTTTTTGCAAGACCAACACCATGGATGTGATCTTCAGCACACCTATGTTTTCTTCATTAATTAATATAGTCAAATCGCCTTTTTCTTGTTGCCGGTAAAAAAACGTGTCGGAGAAGAAGATAGCCGGAGAGAAAACGGGGATGCTCACGCTACCGCTTACACGAAGAGTGCCGCCATATCACGAGAACCTTTCAGACGGCGAGATGATTGTCCCATTTACTACGGCAGTGGAGTGCTACGTGACTCGGTGACTGCGTTGCCGGAAGGGAAGCGCTGCCGTGTTTGTTGGTCAAATGAAGCACTTGTGATTGATACTCTGTACTACGTATTTCTTAAATGTTTTCTGTAAAATTATTTTCAATTTCTTTTTGCTGAGTTGGCAATGAGAAGCCCTTGCTGAAACTAGAAATCCGGATCGACAGTGTCCCCTATTTTCCAATCCAACTCAGCACGATAGCCAAAATACACTTTCCCACTGCGGAGGACAATTTGAGCGCAACGTGACGTGGCAATTCATTTTTTAGCAATTGATACCCCCATTGAGGATGCTCTAAGTGGCCAACTCACTTGCCGCCTTTCATTGTTTACTAACCCTAATCACTACGGCAGTAGTTTGGTATATACTTTTAATCAAGCCATAATTATTTAAATACAAGTAATTTATTGTTTAGCATTAATTTTGATAAAAACTCTAAATTTTGCATTTAATTGTTTTGAGTGCAAAATTTAACTAAAGTAGGCTCTTAAGTTGAGGCAACTCGATTACATTATTCTCGGTGCAAAATTTAACTAAAGTAGGCTCTCAACTCGATTAGATTATTCTCGGTGCAAAATTTAACTAAAGTAGGCTCTCAAGTCTCAACTATTCTCGGTGCAAAACCCAAAACCCCATATGGCTATTCTATGCCCTCGTCTAGTCTTCTCCCGGGCTCCTTGATCATACTCCGAAGGTCAGTCTCAGAAAGGAACAGACATGGCGAGTGACACCGAAGAAAATCTTCCTTCATTGCACACCCTTGACGACGATAATGAAGAAGACAGACTTCTTCAAATGGCCATTTCCGAAGCGAAACAGTATCCAGCCCTTGATTCCGGCAGCACCCTACAGCAGGATATTGCGGGTAATTTTGAGAATCCAGTCGGAGGAGAAGAAGGAATGAACAAGCCAAGCCAAAATAGTAATACTTCCGTTGTTAATGTTGCTGCGGAGGATTATCAAGTCAGGGGAAAGTTGACTAGAGAGGAGTTGGAAGCAATGAGGTTTTTGAATGTCGAAGAGCAGAGGAAGAAGTGGATCGAGGTTTACAGTGGATTAGGGCTCGATGTGCAAAAGGATTATAATGGCCTACTTCGTTCTACCAATCAGAAGAAAAATCTAGTGGACTTTGATCCACGGAGACAGCTAAGCAAGGCTCGAGACCATGTCTCATTTGGTATTGTTTCTTATTCTATGTTTGCTCATGTGCAAATTATTAGCTCCCTTCCCTTAAATCTGCCGTTGCTGAAGTTGTAAAGGGATAAAATGAAAGTGTGCAACTCACGCTTGTTAATTTACTGGGGTCTTATAAGATGGTTTTCAATTTGTTGAATGTATATAGCTAGTAGTAGCCTAATACACTATGCAACTCAGGCCAGAAGGAGAGCAATGAAAATGAAGACTCGTTTGTGGTGGAAGAAGACACCAACTATGATGATAGCGATGATGATTATATTAGTATCCAAAGGCCTGCATTTTTTGTTGAGGGAGAACCCGACTTTGATTCGGGTCCTCCGGAAGATGGATTAGAATATCTCAGGCGTGTGAGGTACATATCCTTCAAACATAAACATACTCCTCTCATTATATGCAAACTATATATTGTATTAATACTTCAAGCTTTGCTTATTCACTTGGTTGTTCAAATGGCTTGCTCAAGATCCTGTTTTGAGTAATAGCTTATACTTGGTATATGTTTCAAGCTATCGCAAATTCAGAAGTCTATCTATGTATCATGTATCTTTATACATGATAGCATATAAAAAGTATTTCATGCTCCTGATTTGTTAATTGAAGATTGAAACAAACTATTCTATATCTATTGTACTAAGTTGGTACATTAAGTAATTGATACTTTGTTTACTAAAAAATATCTAGTTTCTCTCCCTACAATTCTAATTATCTACTCTCTATTGTGCACCACACCTCTTGTAGTAGTGTGTTTTTACACTGAATTTGTTATTATGAGCTCTCATGCTGGTGAATGGTGACCAAGATCGTAAGTAGGGAAGTAGGACATCACACCTTGATTAAAGGGTAAGTTTTCGAAGACAGTATTGAGGCTGAATTTTACACCTTCAGTGCAACCTCATGCGTTTTATTAGGAAATCAGGCCATTAAAACGTGATATCCTCTTTATGGGGTTGTCAAATTGTCATCTATGCTCATTCATTTGCAAGTCATATGAATCCCTGTTGCTTCTTCTTTTTCTCATACAGTACATTATTTGATTTTACTTCTGTTGAGAGGGTGGGAGGTTTGGTCATAGCATGGTCAGTTCATTAGTGTTTATGACGGCTATATAAGTGTTGGTATAAATAAGAATCTGACTTGCAATAACTAGAAAAGTGTAATGTGGAGTAGTGGGATATACATCATCTCACATAATATTTCATTTGATATATCTATGAACTTACCGCTCCATGTACTTTATTGTACCACTGTATATTCTATGTATGGCCTCGATGATCCAAGGTGGGAAGCAGAACGTTTGCCAAAAGTGAAGGTTTGCAAGGTTGAACGAAGCAAGATAAAGAAAGAACAGAGTGTTTATATGCCCTGTATTCCCGATATTGCGACTTGCCCAGAGCACTTACTACCCCTTAAAGAGTGGGAGGATGAGTTCCTTGCTTATTTCTCACAGTTGAGACTGGTATTTCTTTCTTTTTTCACTTGTTTAGAAACATTTCGTCCATGTGGTTTCATCAGCAATGGTTCTTGATTGCTTCTTTTAGAGGGTGGGGGGTAGGCTGTGGATGGGTCTCAATCACTTCATGATATTAGGATTAGGCCAAATTTCTCCTATTTGTAAGTACAGATTAAAGAGTTTGGTATTATGGAGCATAAAACCTGACACCCCCTTGTTAAATACTCCCTCCGTAACTTAAAAATCTTCCCACTTTCCTTTTTCGTCCGTAACACAAAAATCTTCTCATTTCTAAATCTTCCCATCATACCCTCAATAATTCTTAAAATAATACACTATTACAACTACTTTTTTTGGATTTATCCTACATTCCACCACATTATTTCACTATTTTCCCATCATACCCTCAATAATTCATATCATCTTTCACTATTCTTAATCTACCTACTTTTGAAATGGGAAGATTCTAAAGTTACGGAGGGAGTACAAAAAATGAGGATGTCTAATGTTTTTTAAGTGAATCAATCCTTGAGTCTCTTGAAATTCGAAGTTGGATTTTAGCACAAGGCTGCACTGGTAATCTCTTGGTAAGTTCTGAATTTAACTGCTACCAAAAGTTACAACATTGTGACTTCATCTTCTTAAGAATCTGCAAGCATTAGAAGTTATCCTTTACTGGTAAGAATTTGCAGTTGTATGATAAAATGCTAAAAGCCACATGTAAAATGATACTCCGTATGTATTAAACCCCCTCTTCTCATGGTGCTGCAACTCTGCAAGACAAGAAAAATAACTGAATGATTGATGTAAGAAATAGATACTCAAAACCGGTGTCCCGCTTGACCGATTTCTGCAATTTACTTTACTGTTAGGAATCTTTTTTGTTTGTATTTTGGAGGGGGTAATATTCCTTACGGTCTGATTGGAGCTCAGAAAATGACAGGGAAAGAAAGTAGTTGAGGAAAGTACATGGGATTTGGAGGAGAATAAAATATTGGTGTAAATAAAAGATTGGTTCAAACTCATGTTTTTAATATTTGCTATTTTGCTCAAACTTGTTTTATAAATTTATATATTTCTATTAGAAAAAAGACTAAGAGCTTTAAAGATATGAAAGACTTACAAAAGCATCAATCGTTTTCTTTTGCACTTTCCAAGGTAAAATCAAACACAAGAAAATGACTACTCCCCAATTTCCCTATCCTTACAATTTTTCATGATTCAAACATATCTTTAGGATCTTTTTGAATCCATGAAAGTACAAGGGAAATATATCATGAAGGAAAACATCGAGGAAAGTTAGAAATTAGAATTAAAGAAAAAATGTGGGAAAGTAAAGGACAGGCTAAAATTCAGTAGAAAGAAATCAGATATACTTTGACAGTCGATTTCTTTTTATACTTATTATATAAACACTCAGGTGTGTGTGTGTATATATATATATATATATATATATATATATATATATATATTGGCTCAAGTGAGAAATGCATCTAATGTGACTATGTGAGAAATGAGAATGAATCTCAGCCGTTGGATTTCCGATTTTGCACCGAAAATAGCTTGATGTTGCAGTAAGATTTAATTTTTTGCAGTGTTGCACTAAAACTGTTTCATAGTGCACTAAAGTTTGACGACCTTGCACCAAAACAGTTTCATGTTGCACTAGATGGCTGTAATACGGATTTTTCAGAAAATGCCACCAAAGTGGATTGCATATTTTAGTGCAATATAAAGTGTTTTTTTACTGCAAAATAGTCGAATCCAACGACTTAGATTCATTCTCACTTCTCACCTAAAGGGTTCTTCTCACTTGAACCTTACCCTATATATATATATATAGATATATAAGTTTGAATTACAAAGAATATATCAATAATACCGTTTCATTACTCGGCATCCCATGGTAAAACTATACATACGAAAAAAATCCATTGCTTTTAACATCTTCCCTAGGATTCGGTACATACTTAATTGATCACTGCCATTTCTTGTATCGAGGATATTTAACTCAGGGTTCTTTTTCCTGTCTAAGTTTGGTATTTACTGTACGTCCTCCATTTGCATGTTTTCTGGAGTCTGGACACACTTTCAGGCTAAGTAGCAAGTAATTTTTGCATTAATCTTTTTCAGGTTTTATCACAAATAGAAGGCCCTGATGTTAGCATTTGTGGTCCACTGTTCTCATATTATGTTGATCAGGAACAACAATCATCACATCACCTCACAAAAGGCATCACTGAAGATACCGATAACACAACATCAGGAGATGATCACATCCAAACTAATGAAGGTGACAAGAATGCTCTTAAGAATCCCTGCCCCACACTTTCAGCTATTTCAGGGATGGAACCAGTGGCTCGAGCTTCATTGCTTAGAAAGCGGATCGCTGTCTTTGAAAGTACAGCCACAGCTTCAAGGGATGATTGCCTGTGGTTATTCGCTTTATGCGCAGCTGTTGATTCTCCACTTGATGCTGACACCTCAGCTGCCCTGAGATCTTTGCTCCGCAAATGTGCAAGCTTGAGAGCTGAAAAAACAATGGTGGATGATGAAGTTATTATGCTCAATCTTTTGGCAACAATATCTGGGAGGTACTTTGGGCAGGCAGAAAAGTGAAGCAAGGTTGGCACTTGTCAGTTCTCACACATTTGACTTTCATTTAACATGCCCGGTTTTTTGTGTGTAACTTGTCAAGTCTGACAATGGTTAGCAGCCACTCTGGTCGATCTGGTCCTTAAATGTTTTTTTTTTTGTTGTTTCCAGATTGGAATATTATACAGCACAAAGGGCTTTGTTTGGTAAATATTACATAACTCATCCTGCATTCTCATTTCCTTTTCAAATTTGAGCCAGTTTAAAAATTGAAATGTGAAACACATGTGGGGTTGGGTTGTGCGAAATGATGCCGGGGTGGTGGTGGTGGTGGTGAACGGTCGAGTTAATTTTTAAAATTTGCCAATGATAAATTGAAACACAATGGCTCTATTTGGTAGAGCGGCACATTTGAAGTGGTATAGTGTTTGCAGAAAGGGAATTGTGATTCTTACATCACCTTAGACACTGAGACTATTTCTCTGAGCATAGTACTCACAGACATGCATGTTGTCTCTTGATAGTGTGTACACAAAAATTCGTTGGGGAGGCATACTCCTCTCCATTACCTTCTCTCCATTTACTCTCTCCATTTTTTTCACTCTATCTCTCCTTAAAAAAATAATTAAACCCCATTTTTAATTTCTCCCTACCCCACCATTTCCCCATCTCACTCTATCTCTCTCCTACTAGAGAATTCCAGTTACTGGTAGAGTAGATACGATGTGGGTCTGTCGGTAATCAATATTAAAGATGTGGTTGAGTAGCATGACCCTTGGGGGGACTATGAAAAAAACACTCCATATGAGGTTTCAGAATGCTTGTCAATAGATACGATGTCATCAGTAAGGTTTGAACCCAATGCGGCACTAGAAAGGGAAATGGGGCACCACTGAAGATGAACAATGTTTTGTTCTGGTGCGATTATAGCATTTCTTGAGACTGGGAGCGGGGTAATAGGCTAGGTTCGGGTTTTGAGACTAGCTCCAGACTGGTTTTTAGTGGTCTGGCCCTGTGGAACTGGAAAAAGTTTGGTATGGCTTCTAGGAAAAAACTCACCGTTCCAATTCGGGAACTGGTCTTAGGTCCATTCCTAGATAGCACATCCCGACCCACTCGGCTCTTCATGATCTTTTCTTTAATATAAATTTCAACTTGCTGGAAGCAAAGTAGGGGGAAGCTCTGGAGCGGGCAGCTCTCGTTGGTGTAAACCGGCAGCAGGATGGGTAAAGGTCAATACAGATGCTGCTATTGTTAATCAGACCTGTGGTTTGGGTTGGGTTGTGCGAAATGATGCCGGGGAGTTTGTGGCTGGGGGTACGAAATGGTGGACAGGTTGCATAACTCCTTTTGAAGCAGAATTGTTAAGCATACATGAGGCTTTGAGCTGGCTGAAAGATCAGCCTTGGGAGTTTGTCGAGATCGAGTCAGATTCACTGTTGGCTATTAATGAGATCAAGAATGGTTCAAGTCTGTCAAGTAAAGGTTTGCTAGCGGAGGATGTTCGGGAGTTAAGCTTGGAGTTTTCTAACGTCTCATTTTCTTTTGTGAGACATTCAAAGAATTCTGTTGCTCATAACTTAGCTAGAGCGGCGGGTTCTATGTCTGATGGCCAAGTGTGGTCGTTTTATCCTCCGAGTTGTATCTTGAATGCTTTATCTTTTGACCTCATTAATACTAATTAACTAATTAATTTCATTTCGTTCAAAAAAAAAAGAACACAATCATTGTGAGAAAAATATGAATAATTTCAAATATAATTTTAATAACAACAATACATATGAATATAAATGTATAGAAGTTTCAGAGAAATAACTATTTAAGTGGTCCTCAAATTTGCAAATGGTATAGTGGAATCATCATTGTGTACACATGGTGTATTGATCCCAATATAATGTAGATATATAAAAGTAAAACATACACTCTTGTTATTTATTGGCCAATCGTTCATCTTTCTCACCAATTTGTGCAACCATTTCTTTCTGTGATTCCTCTTATTTTCTTTTCTTTGTTTCTTTTATTCTTCAATTCTCTTCTTCTCGTCTTCAAAATATTAAGAATCTAATAACAATTGTGCTATTCTTCATCTTCAAAATAAATATAGGTTTTTTCTTCTCCATCAATTTATAACTAAAGTTTCATTAATCTAAAATAAAAAATTCATACTCTATTTGAAGCCGTACAACTTTTCTTCAAGTACAATCTTCTTTTTTGAACTTTGGGTGGATTATATTTGAAAGTTGATCATTTTCATAACTTACATGTGTCACTATGTAAGATTGCGTTTCAGATACGCAAGTTACATTTGCCCACGTTACTATGTGAAGTTACATTTTCAATAACACGAGTTACATTTTGTTAGTACGTGAGTTAGATTTTTATCCACGTGATTTACACTATCTTTAGACTTCTCAAGTTCCATTTTCCATTGGTGTTTTTACATTTGGATTCACTTATATTTTTCCCTTAATGTGAATTAAATTTTTCGTAAATGTGAATTATATTTCTGTGCGCAAGATTTGCAATATAAAATATAGTTTTGATACTGAAACCAAAATATATTCACAAAAATATATTCACTAATAGTTTTGAATTAAAATTTAAGTTTGAATGATGTAGTTTTTGGAGTGGGTATACAACACTCATCCACTAGGTTCCGAAGGTATGACAACTCCTCAATTGCTTTCACCAACTGTAGTGAAAGATACATTATGGTTAGAATTTGTTCATAATAGAGGAAAATACACTAAACTATACTCCGTAGTCCGTATCATTATTTCTCAAAGTACTCCCTCCATTTTGAAATTAGTTCTACTTTTATTTTCGGGCAGTCCCGAAATGATCTTTCCCTTAATTCACACGTTCTTATTTAACAAATTATCTACATCAAAATAATAAAATTTACTCCCCGCTAAATTTATTTACTGGTATGAAAACTAAGCGGGAAATTAATTAAGGGACCCATGCACTAAAGATAATTGCCAGCATTTGAATATATTTGCGTCATTGCGAATGGTGGATGTCCAAATTGACAGTTATTGCAACCCAATTTCCGACATTGAAGCAAAACACCCAATTGGCAACTGTGTTTTGGCGGGTAAGTTTTCAGATAGGGTACCAATGTACGTCTTTCTCGCTTGTCTGAACTTGAAAGACATTATAGTTTTCCTTTTGATTCAGATTTCTGGCTCTCCAGTAGTTCAGATTGTTTTCCGCGGTTGTTTTTTCCAACATCGCAAAGGCTGTCTTCGTCGTATAAAAGCCGCCGGACGGACTGTCGGAGTAGTTTATAATGGAGCCGCTTGAAAGTTGTTAATGAGCCTTTTAAAGCCATAGCCCTAATTATCTTGTATCCCCCAATTCCTCATTTACCGATTTCTATTTCTAAACGTCAAGGTAAAAAAGTAACTGTTTTTACTATGCATCTTTGAAGCGACCTTTCTTTAAGAATTAAGATGATATTTATTTGTTTAATGTTCATAATTTACATGCATTTCATGCTCTTATTATTGAATTCTAGCCAGTGTAAAATAAATTTCGCCACTTGTCTTGGGTTGGTTTAACTGAAAATGTTCATTTTTTTTAATTTTTAAGGGGCTGAAAATTGAATTATTCAGAAATGATGCTGCGAACATTGGCATATGGAGGCCGAGTTATATATAGCAGAACTGCATGTGAGGTCGAGAGATCTGCAGAGAAGATTCTCCGTCTCGTTGAAGAGAGGAGAAGTAAAGAAGAGGCTGTTGCTCTAGGATTTGACATGGAATGGAAGCCTAGTTTTAAAAAAGGTCTGCTTTCCATTATTCTTGAAAAGAAAATACGATGATAACTTTTTCTTGCCAAGTTTATGGAATAAAATAGAAGCTCATCACAGTTGAATTATGTGCTAGCTAGAGTTGGCTCCTTTATCAGATTCTCTTTCTCTTAATTAACTTTTTGTTTATTTGTTTGACCCACACGATGAATTTCTTCATTTTTGTTATACTGTCATTCTGGAAGTTAAGTTTCCTTCAGTATGCCTTCTGATTGAAGCTTTCAAGATTTTTATTCAGAATTGAAATTTAAACGACGGGCAAGCCATCACTTTTTAACCTCCCTGTCCCAGTTTATAGAGGACAAATAAAACAAACAGAAATTGCACGAAGTATAACTAAAAACAATGTGATATTTTAAAACAGGAGTATTATATTTGTTTCCTTGAATAAGACTAATTAGTGGCATTCTCGGGATTTACTACCAATTATGACATTAATACTGTCGTATTAATGCCTAGTAATGTCAAAAGATGGCAGTGTCATTTCAGGATGACAATTACTTATTAAAGAAAAGAAATAGATCACTTCTATTTTGGAATGTCACATTGTATTTTACTACTCCGTACTATTTTGGGAAATTTCCTTAAAAAAAATAAAATGTTATGAAAGTTTAATTGAACATTATTTGCCCATTGCCAATGTGCATAATGTACACAAATGATGAAAAGTTTAATTGCAAAGGAAACATATGCAGTGACAGAATTCTTGATGGTAGCAGAAAGTGTATTATTATTGCAATAAAGTAGTTGAATTGACTTCCAGAATTTAATTACATACTCCATAATACTCAAAATTGATAAACAAATGATCTATTGCCAATGAAATCTCAATCAGAAAGTGAGAGAACGATGTTTTAATAATTTTGAGTTTGTCGATATGTTAATACTTAGAAGTATGGGGTTCCTTTTGTTTCAATGTTAATGTATCGTAGTGTCTAGTTTCTGGCAGTCTACTACTCTCTCCGTCCCGTAATTAAGTTCCTACTTTCCTTTTTGGGATGGTCCATATTAAAGTTCCTACTTCAAAACTTTCCTTATTTGGCAAATGATTTACCCCAAAACAGTGCCAAACAGTGTCAAACAGTGTCCAAACAGTGTCCAAACAGTGCACTCCACAGTAAAGTCAAATTTATTTCTTAATATGTGTGAAGTCAAACCAGGAACTTAATTAAGAACCGGAGGGAGTATAACAGATGAATAATGGCTGTCTCTGTGCAGGGGTTTCACCTGGGAAGGCTGCTGTTATGCAGATCTGTGGAGACATGGACAATTGTTATGTTTTTCACATATTCCATTCTGGAATCTCCCAGAATCTACAATTGCTTCTTGAGAACAACACAATACCAAAGGTTCAGCTTTAGTCTCAAAACTTCTGGAATTTCCTGTATACAAAATGTACCACACTTGTGTTGCTATTTTTACTTCTTAAATAATATAGCACAGAGTAACTCTTGTGATTGTTGTTTTATTGGTACAAATGTGCAGGTTGGAGTAGGCATTGCTATTGATGCTAAAAAGGCTTTCAAAGATCATAATGTATGTGTAAGTAGTTTAGTAGATCTGTCTACACTGGCAAACCAAAAGGTTCATGGAGGTCCTTCAAAAAGGAGTTTATCATCTTTATCTCTAGAATTCCTTTACCAAGAGGTTGTTTGGAACTTGTTATGAGCTTCTTTACTTTGCACGTTTGAGTCATGATATTAGGACTTCTTGCTCAATGTGAGATTCAATTGAAGGTTTTGGATTCTCGCAGCTTCCTAAAGAAAACTTCATCAGATTGGGAAATTGGGAGACTGACATTTTATCTGAGAAACAACTTGATTATGCTGCCACAGATGCTTATATTTCATGGAAACTATACCATGTAAGTGAAAACCTTTCTGCTACTAAAGACTTTCTCTCTCTTCCCTTTTTTTATTACTATAATCAGAAATTGCTCTATAAGAGTAAAAAAAAATTGTTTATTATAATTAGAAATTGCCCTATAAGAGTAAAAAATATGATATTCTAAAATAGGTATACTATGTTTCTCTCCTAAATAAATATAATTACTGTCATTGCTTGAAAATATAGCCGATTATGACATTAATTCCATCATATCAGTGCCTGATAATGTCAAAATATGGCACTATGATTTCAAGATATCAGTAATTTACTCAGATTTAGGGGAAAACACATCATTCATATTTTGGAATATCACATTGTTTTTATTTCTATTTTGGGAAATATCCCATTTATTATTGCCTCATCACCTTATACATACACACATTATTACAATTTGTTTTTGCCACAGGCACTGATGGAGCTTCCTAATGTTGATTAAGAAAGCAATTAGGGAAGTGATTAACCTTTTGAGTGGGCCCCTTAAAAATCTAAAGGTGTTCCGTAAGATTTCCTCCCATGATTCAAAAGATGGATCTCTGATTCATACATTTATATATTCTTTACAGGGGTTAATGCACCAAATCCCCCTGTGATTTGGAAATTCGGCGCATTAGCCCCCTGTGATTTAAAAAATGCGTCAAACCCCCTTGTGTTTTAATTAATCATGCACAGAACCCCCTTTATGAATAAATTTAACGATTCGAAAATCATTTTTCCTAATATTTTGATTGAATATGCAAATAAATATGTCAAAATCTCTGAATCATACAAAAATATTAATCATTTTTCTTTTATTTGACAATTGAATTTGTTCACATAAGGGGATTTGGCGCATGATTAATTAAAACACAGGGGGGTTTGACGCATTTTTTAAATCACAGAGGGCTAATGCGCCGAATTTCCAAATCACAGGGGGGTTTGGCGCATTAAACCCATTCTTTTGGTGTGGCTCATGAACTAGTATTCTTTCTTATTAATTAACTATAACTAATACACATTTATTCTCTCTTGCTCATTGTTTAGCTGTTTGGGACTACTTATCTAGTTATCTGTACAAAAAGTTTGAGTGGCTAAGATCTGAAAAAAAAAACAGAGGATTAGTAGTTATTCCATGCAGGAGTTGACATATAGAGAGAGTAGTACTTCGCGACTTCATTTCATTTAGTGAGATTAGATAAATATACACTCATGGATATCCTAAATCTATGGTAAGTAGTTGATTGTAAAGTGTACTTAAGGAGTTGGCATGCATATTCTTCCCTATTATTTTTATTCTCTCTTGGCAATAGAATAAAATGGAAAGGGGAATTGGATAGCTGGTGAACATTGACTAATGCGGCATTTGCATGTGCTGTGGGCCATATAGCAGTCAATGCCCTTCATATTGCCTCTTTTAACAATATGAACTGTTCGAAGCAGGGAATTTTTGCTTATGGGGCAGTTTTTTTATCGGGAAAAGGGTTAGATAGGCCCTCGAACTTATATAAAAAGTTCAAATCACTCTTTATATGAGATTCTGTTTGGCCGTCGCCATTTGGGGCGGTTCCCAATGGAATTTTTTTGATGAAATTTTTTGAGCATCTTATTCATTAAGTTTAGTTTACTCATACCAAATTTCAGCTAAAACTTCAATCGGGAAGGTAGTCAAATGATTTTTTGAAGATAACTGCGCAGTTAAACAGTGCAGTGTATTTCAGAAAATCATTTGACTGCCTTATCGGTTGAATTTTTAGCTGAAATTTGGTATGAGTAAGCTAAACTTAATGAAGAAGATGCTCAAAAAAATCATCAAACAATTCCACCGGGAACCTCCTCAAATGGCGACGGCCTGACAGAACCTCATATAAAAGGGGTGATTTGAACTTTTTATGTAAGTTCGAGGGCCTATATGACCCTTTTCCCTTTTTTATATCATCGCATTATAAGAACCATTTTTAAGAACAATTTGTGCATTTCTTTTTGTGTTGTCCAGAATACAAAGTTTATGTCTTCTTTTTTAAGAGTTTAATGCACCAAATTTCTCCGTGATATGTAAACTCGACGCGTTAGCCCATATGATTTAAAAATGCGTCAAACCCCTTGTGTTATACTTTTTCATGTGCAAAATCCCCTCTATTAATAAGTTTAATTGCCAAATAAATGAAGAATGATGAGTATTTTTCATAGTTTAGAGATCTTAATAAATTTACTTGCACATAAAATCATAATATTGGGATAAGTGATTTCCAAATTGTTAATTTTTTCTTCAAGGTTTTTTTTGCATGAATAATTACAACACATGAGGGTTTGATGCATTTATATAGTACAAGGGTTTGGTGCATTAAACTCTTTTTATTTAAATCTACAATTTTTTTCATTTCAACTTTACTTAATTTTTCATTTAAAAGGTGAGTAGTTCAGGGTTTTTACTTATCTCTTATTTTGATCTGTGTACAGAAGTTTTGTGACTTATTTTGGGACGTAGATGGTGTAATACAAAAATATCCATAGAGATATACACTAAGTTAACTAAAAACAACTTATAAAAAATAACTAGCGCTTGCTAAGATAAGACAACTTCTCAAGAGATTTGTTAGAAAAATGGAATAAAACCACGAGAATATAAGCCTCATTTGTGATTTACAACATTGTTCATTGACAAAAATAAAAATATTTACATTAATCAAACATGATTCTTTTTATTATAGTGTGTAACGGAAACTATAATGTGTCATCTATTACTACGTAGTATGATATTACATTTACCAATTATGTATATATACCACCAGTATCTATATTTCTGCAAATTTCAGTTCCAAGTATTAAGCAATATAATAAGCTCATTCCGTTAATTATCAAAGTATAAAAATCTAATATGGTTGAAATTATTTTTTACTGAATGTTTTTCTTTCAGAATATTTCACCAAATCAACGTTTCAACCAAAAATCATTAAAACGCATTTAAGTCCTGCTCGACTTCTGCCTCAAATGAATTTAGCCACCATTTTCAATGACTGTTATTTTTTGGTTCATTTGTGAATTGTAATGTAGCGCAATAAATGTCACTCACGCAGTCACACCTCAAGGAGTCACCGGGTAGTTTGTGGTGCGGGAAAATTACTTTCGGTTCTTAAATACTCCGTAATAATTATTCTACTATTCTATTTTAATTGTAATTCAGTTATCAATATATTACTCCGTGACTAGTACTTCGTATTAATTTGTCTAATTGTAAATATTAAATATATCTGTTTATGGTCAAAGTTATGTGTTGGTTAATGTTAAAATCTAAATATTGCAACTATATAACATAAATATGACTAAAATAAAAATGATTTACAAAAATATGACTAGTTACTAGAGTAGTAATGAAATCATAGTAATTTATATTCAAATTTTGAACTTAAGTTACCACAACACTACGTTGTAGTAATGAATAGTTATATTTATGTAAATAAATTTTATTTTAGTAATATTCTTGTAAAAACTCATACTACGTATAACAATGAAGGAAATATAATTAATTAACTCACCTTTATGCTTAGGATGTTTTCTTTTGGACTGAAATTTGCTGGTTTGGTTTGGTCTGGTAAAAACGTCTGGTCTCTGTGTATTTTATAATTACGGAAGTCTGGTCTGGGACTGAAAACAGTCCAAAAGAAAATATCCTTAAACATGGTTCATTATATTAGTTTATATTCTTTTTTTTTTTACTTGTTTAGTATATTGATTGGCGTAATATGCCTCGTAAAATGGTAACTCATTAATTAGAATAAACTAATTCTTATGTATTTGTGTGTAATTGAGAATAACGGTACCCGCTTAAAAAATGAAGTACTGTACATATCATTCATTTAAGATGTTTTCTTTTGGACTGTTTTCAGTCCCAGACTAGACCAGATCAGACCAGACTTAAACAGACCGGACCAGACTTGGATAGTTATAAAATACACAGAGACCAGACGTTTATCAGACCAGACCAATTCAGACCAGACCAGACCAGACTTAAACAGACCAGACCAAACCAGATCAGACCAAACCAGACCAGCAAATTTCAGACCAAAAGAAAACATCCTTAATTGGTCTAATGCATTATATCACTTTTAATTTTCAATTAAATAATTCAACTACAATATTTTGGTTGATCCATATGGACAAATGTATGGTACCTTATGAGTACTATAATCTATTCTTAATAAAAACAACTACTCATTTGAGTTTAGTTGATTCACACATCTTAGGATGTTTTGTTTTGGACTTTTTTCAGCCCCAGACCTGACTAGATTTGACCAGATCATATTTAAACAGGCCAAATCAAATCACACTTAAACAAACTAGACCAGACTTGGACAGTTATAAAATACACAGCGACCAGACATTATCAGACTAGACCAGTTTAACCCAGATCATACCCGCAAATTTCAGTCCAAAAGAAAACGCTTTTACTAAGATTAGAACTTTACTTGAAAAGGCAATAGTAATATTTTGGGAAAATTTCCAACATATGACTAAAACATATCGAGTTTCCCGAAATATGACTAGCTATGTTTTTTTCCCGAAATATGACTAAAAATCGAAAAAAGAAAATTTTGTTATATTATAATGTGGAAGGTCGAAAATGCCCTCACTTAAAAAAGATGTATTTTGCACTAATTTCATCCTTGTAAGAATATTGCACTTTACGGCATTCACTGCACAACATATAATGAACTTCATGCACTTAAGTTATGGCACTTCAGTTTGTCCTTTTTTTTTAGTTTTGATAATTTTAGTTTTTACGTTTAATTGAATATAATGCACTTCATGCGAGAGCTATGGCATGACATTACAAAAATGTTAGCATTTTATATTTTTTTTCTTTTTAGATTTGATAATTGCACTTTATATCAATGTTAATGCTCTACATTATTGCACTTTTTGTCAAAATCACTTTATATATAGTCATATCATTGCACTTCTTTGTCTTAATTATCATTGCACTTCTTGTGATATTCACGACATTACATACTAAATATTCACTGCACACTGTCTTCAATCGTCTTCAACCTAGGGTTCTTCTTCAATCTTGGTTTCGCCTTCAACCTCGGCCGCCTTGGCTGAAGAATCTGAGTTGTTGGAGCGGCGGTCCATCGCCATTCTTTGACAACATTAAATATTAACCCTAATTTCATTAAATAAAAGAAGAACGCCACAAACCTTAATCTCAAACAGCAAGAGATCAAGCATGCTGGTTGATGGAAGCACGAGGCAACTGTGCGGTGAGACGGCGGCGGCGAGTGCGGGCTGGACGTACGAAGGAGGAGAGCATGTGGCTGTGCAGTTGGACAGAGGTGGTGAGCAGGCGGACGTACGGCAAGACAGAGACTGGGCGGCGGCTAAACGGTGGGGGCGGCAGAGGTAGGTGACGGCTGGGCGGCGGTGGGGAAGCATCGGCAGGCGGGTGTGCGTGAGTACTAGGAGGCTAGGGTTGGAGAAAAGGAGTGGGGGGTTAGGGTTTTATAGGCTTAACCTAAATGGTATATTAGTCCATAAAAATTAATTATTTAATTTTTAATTATGAAATTAATTAAATAGTATAGATTTACATATTATTTTGGGGGGAAAACTAGTTAGATCATAGATTGAGAAAGTGGGAGAGTTTAATCATACATGGGATAATTATTTCTATTATTTTTAGGGGTTTTCATTTAATATTATTAATAAATTAAAGAAAATATGAACAAAATGTGACTTATTAACTATTAATGACTACAATTGTGTTCAAAGTCTATATTGTAATGACTTGCATGTAGTTACTACGATGTAAACTTTGAACACGATTATAATCATTAATAGTTATTAAGTCATATTTTGTTCACCACTTAGGGTAATAATATTAGTGAAATTTTATCATATTTAAATACCGTTATATTTGACTCATGTGTGATGATTTAATAAGGTACTCTTAGAAAATAGTTGCGTTTGAGTGGTCGTACATATTTACAATCAAACAAATAATTTGATATTTAATATAAAAATCAGATAGATTAACTTATTATACCAACAAATCAAAGTTTAGAGACTATGAACCGACACCAATATGACTTATATTATTATAGGACAATGACAACTAAGGTAAAAGAAAAAATGTCACTACCTAGCCGTCTAGCGTTATAATTCAACAATTTTTTAAAGAAAAAAGTGAATGAACTATCTTATGCAGTGATGATACATTGATACTACTACGTGTTCAAATTTCCTCCCATCAAACATACAATTGTTTTTCACTTGTATGCTAATTGTTAATGAGGATCATATTTTTAATTAATATTATTTAATTTGACACATAAAGTTTCCTTGTGAGATTGGATGTAATTTAGTGATTTAAATACTATTAAGGTTACACCTTCGGTATGTAATCCTTCGATTATTAATTAAATTAAATGATCCTTATTTTAAATGCATTTTGTTCATCAATCACTCTAAATAGGTGTAAATT